TGCTGTGTCCACTACATATTTGAGGTGCTGCAGCCGACTTCAGTCTCTTGGGTGAGCGTAGGAGCCGCTATGCAGGATCGGGATGGGACCCGCCAGTTTGTGACTGTAACTACACAGTTAGTGGCAGACCGTCTTGTGAGTCCGTGTTTGCCACTGTGTTTTGCTAGGAAGGTGGGGTGTCAATGACCTACTATTTGATTGAAAAACAATTGTGAGGCAAACCAGGATCCAAGAGAGGTTCAAGAAGTGACCTAGTAGCCTAAATAACACGATGCTTTTTGGGAGATTTTCTAGCTGCACACGTGTTTTGAAAGCTGCTAGAATAATTGAATAATTCAGCACCTGGGGCCGGTGCATGCTTCCTTGCAGTTTGGCAGGAGTAGGAGAGTGAGGAGGGATGGTTGGCAAGGCAGGGAGCGGCTGTATGAGGTTTTGTTCTATTTCTGGGATCCTCTCGGGTCAGTTCTCTGCTGGGCAACTGGAACATTCAGTAAAGCCTTTGGTAAAGAGAGGGAGACTGGCCTTGGAACACTGTGGAGTGGACAGCTAGCCTTGTTTTTTTTTCTGCCCCCTCTTGGCACCTGCCAGGCTCTCACCCTGCAGTTCTCGATCCCTCAACCAGCTCTGTCCTCTGGGGGCGGTCTCCCGCCCAGTTTGCCTAACTCCCCTTGTTGCCTGGGCACTCTCACCTTGCTTTTGGACTTTTCACTTGGCGTCATTTTAATTGTTGCCCTGCTCCACCCACCTTGCAGATCTACCTAGAAATACACTGTTTTCCGTGGCCTACAGGGTGAGATGCTATATAAGTCCTTAAGTACATAATTGGGGAAAACTCATGTATGGTTTCTGGCACATGATAGACTTCCATAAACATATCACATAAACGTGTTTAATCCAGCGCTGGAGTGGAAAGGGTGAGCCCTCAGTCATGGTCTGCTCCCTTACAGAGCTTAGAGTCTGATGGGGAAGGCAGACTTCAGCCACAATCAATAAACATGTCTATGCTGCATACCTAAAAGAAAGCATAAGGTACTAAAAGGTATTATAACAGGGACCCAGATCTTGACTTGGGAGTCAGTGCAGGTTTCCCTCAGTAAGCGACCTAGGGAATAAGATCTGAGAGAAACAGAGCAGTTAGGAGCACCAAGGCAGAAGTGGGGGTCAGGGTGGAGGGAGCCACATTTACAACATCCCTGAGGGGCTCCCTGAAGTGGGGAGGCAGCAGGAAGGCCAGTGTGGCGAGCCGGGGTGAGGCACTACTGGCCCGAGCTGGATGGGAGGGGTAGGCAGGCCTGTCTTCTGCAGGGCTGAATAGTCTTTGCTCAGGATTTTGGTCATTATGTGGGAAGCAGTGAGAAGCCCTTCTAGGATATTAAACTGAAGATCATATGATAAGATCTGCATTTTCAAAGCTCCATTGGTTGTGCTGGAGAATTGAGTAGAGAGGGTGGGAGGAGGGCCAGGAACAAGGATGGTCTTCCAGGGATGAGGCTGCGTAGTTGAACTGAGAGATGTGGAGATGGAAAGGGAGAGGCATGGCTGGACGAGGGACGTATTTAGGAGGTGAAATTAGCAGATCTTGGGGAGGAGCTGGCCATGGGAAGGCAGAGTGCCAAGTTTTCTGGCTTGCCGAGTTAGATGGAGGGTGGAACCATTCATCTAAACAAGAAACACCAGAGAAGAACCAGACTGGAGACCAGGGAGATGAGGAAGGGAGTTTGAGGTACCTGTGGCATAATCCAAGTGAAAATGTCAAATAAGTTAAGTCCAGAGGTCTAGAGCTCAGAGGCTCTGGCTGAGCTAAGGAAAGAAATGTGAGCGTTGAGCTTTAGGAAGTGCCTGAAGGCATAGGTGGGGGTGAGGTCCCCTATAGAGAGAGGGCAGGGAAGAGGAGAGGGAGAAAGTCTTGAGAGGGACCCCCCCTCCACCACTGCCATGTAATCACTGAATGAATGTGATGGAGAAGGGGGATCTGCAGAGCTCTCCTGTTCTTGCAAGCTAACCTCTGCACATCTGCATTTTAAAGGTAATTTTTCTGAAAGCAGAAGTTTTCAAGTGTAGAGATCCACCTTCAGTGATACAGATTTCAGGCAGGACGGAGGCAGATAGAGGCATCGTGGAGCTGTCCTTTGACCAGCTGTGAGTTGAAGGATTATCTCAAGGATTAACTCCATGTCACATATACGACAAAACGGCCCTGGCTTTTTGTGACGTTCCTAGGCTGGCCGTGTAATCCGCAGGCAGCCCTTGAGGTTTTGACAGGCTAGAAGATGTGCCCAAGGTGACTCAGTCACTGACAGAGCAGGGATCTGAATGTAGGGCAGTTGAGTGCTGAGTTCATTGTCTCTCTGTTGTCTATGGAGCCTGGACATAGCCCTAGTGATTTGTGTTTGGGCCAGAGGAGTGTGACAAATGTCACCCCAGGAAAGAAGGGACTGGAAGCTTCTCAGCAGTGTCCCGTGCACCAGACCTAATTCCTCCTAGTCCTGAGAGCATGGCTGGTTTGTGCCAACTGGAGAGCTGGGATTTTGAGAGGTGAAGAAGGAGAGCAGAGGTGACGCCCCCCACTAAAATCCAAGTGGCAGGATATTCCCAACTTTCTTTTGAAATTTGACACACACATTGGCTCTAAACTCTAGGAGTCAGCCACTTGTGGGCTGAACGCATTAAAGCAGCATTGTCCATTGTATGCATTCTCTGCTGGGAAAGAGCTTTCCATCCTTGCATGGTGTGTTTATAATTTGGAAAGTTTGGCTGCTCTACTCCAGCTGTGGGAGAGCCGGAGAGAGGGCATATAGCAGAGAAAAATTGTGCGTGTGTACCCACGCCTCCGCTTTTCCTTTTTTGCTGTTCTACAGAATGAGGGAGGACTACAAAGGAGTAGGAAAGGTAAAATAACACGATGTCTCGATGGCAAACCATGTAGAGTGAAGAAGTTGCTACAGTTGGCTGGAATGGGACCGTACCGCAGGAGAGAGCATTCCCCGCTGAAGTCCTTCGAAGTTGTGAAATACGATCCTGTTACTTGCCTATAGGCAAGTTCTCCCCCAGACCCTCGCCAGTACAAGTTTTCAGTTTTCAGCTCCTTGTAGCTTAATGGGCTACTTTAGAATGAGAGCCTAGCAGTTTCCTCCTCTGGACAGAGTAGAACGTTGATTCTCAGAAGATGGCCTGGGATTCCTAATGTGTGTAACTACACCCAGCCTTAATTAATTTCTGCCATTGGCATTAAGGCCAGGTGGCTCAGGGCATGCGGGTGCTGGCCAAAGGGGAGGCCATGCCCTGTTTTTACAAAGAAGGCATAAGGAGAGCCACTCCATTCCTCACAGTGCCAGGCTCTTTGGGTTGCAAGGGACAGGAATGACCCTGCTTAGCTTAAACAAAACAGGAAAGCATTAGAAGTCTGTGGGTGACTCCCAGAACCAAAGAACAGCCGAGGAACCAGGCTCACCCGGCAAAGCTGGGGCTACTCCAGAGACTCAGGCAACAGAGCTCTTAAGGGGTCACACCTGGCATGACTCCCCTCTTGAGTATTTTCCCCCTTCCTCGAATTATATGGTTGAGACCCAGACGCCCTGGGAGAGAGAAGGGGGATACTGTGGGGGGTGGTGTGCTTTGGTTGAGGAAGGCCAGGGCCCTCTGCTTCTCAGGCCTGTGTCTTCTGAGCAAACCTGCCTGCACTGGAAGATGTAATTCTTCACAAGGAAGTTGCGGTTCTGAAATGAGAATGGGCGTTCAGTGACTGGAAAACACCTGTCCGCGACGATCTGCTAGTGACATCTTGTGGGCTGAAATCGACTGACAGTCCTTTGAATCTGGAAGTTCTGCTGGCAGCTTCAGCCTCAGGAATTTTGTTCAGCCTACTTGCTTAAGGACAGATAGATGGAGTGGGCAGTTGCCAGAAGCAGGATTGTTTTTTTCCAGTTCTGTTGTGTGTTCATCATATGCATGGAAAAGACTTGAACAACCCTTTAAAGGGGATAGACTTAGAGAGTTGGATTCAGAGTGAATTATGGCTCCCAGTTCACCCTGCAGCCATCTTCCAGTCTATCCAGAAGATTCTTAATGGGGAGGATGGGAAGAGAGGGCTGAAAGCCCAGGGCTGTGACCCTCGGAAGGGGGATGGGCGCACAGTTCCACGCACAGATCCCCCCATTGCTGCGGGGTCAGTCTTTACACATGCCTTCTTTTCTGATACTTCTTTCAATCTTGCCCTTTAAAAACCGGTCACATTTTACAAGGGCTTAAGCCAGAAAAGGAGGCCCTGAAAATCCAGGTGTCGAGGGTGCAGGGAAATGACCCGACAGAGAGTAGGACACCTCTGCCGTGTCTCTTAAATGATTAAATATAATATTAAGTAACAGAATGGATGTAGATTTACCCCATCTGCTGAAGTCATGCAAAGAAATTATTTCATCACAGCCTGGGAAGGCGTGGAAAAATCAGCAATCTCTAGAACAGATTTGTTTTCCAAATTTAAAACCTGCCAGGCCAGCAGGCTTGGTTTCCTAACTGGCTAAATCTGTAACGTGGAGTCTGATCTGGGGCTTTGTGGGACTGCGTGGCCTCCGTAGCTGGGATACAGTTTGCTCTTTTAGCAGTAGAGATGTCGAAGATACTGTCCACCCCCCACCAACCCCCGCCCTGGACTCCTGACCGTAGCAAAGGTTAGCGTTTCATTTGAGAGATCCCATCTGTTAGGCTCTCTTCCTTCTTTTGAGAGCACGGCCAAACACGAGTAGAAATACTGCCCGCTAAGAGAATGGTGTGGGCTAGTCAAGAGGTCAGGAATGTAAAGAGATTCTAGAGTCCTGTGTGACCAGTTTATTATAAAATTACTCTAGAAGGGATTAGAGAATGTCTTAAGCTGCTTACAATATTTTTAGGAACTAGGGTGAGAGATGCTATTTGTGTGCAAAATAATCCCATAAAGGAATGACTTTTTTTTTTTTTTTTTTAAACCACACATTTATATAATGACATCTTGTAGCCAGCTGCTCTTACCCATCTGGCAACTTAAAGATTTCCTTTTAGTTTCTTTGATATAGAAATTACCTACCATTAGGTCTGCCACTGGGCCTCTTTAATTGGTACTAAAAGAGAGCACCTCCTTTGCCAGATCTGCTGTGGTTTCTGACGGAAGCTGTGAGTGACCAGCAAATCTCTGCCCCTGGAGTTGCAGAGAGAATGCAATTACCTTTCTATGTTCTCCAGAGGCTTTAGGGACTCAATTTATGAAAAGGATAACTAGCTCGTTGCTATTTCATGTGTGAAATTTTAATGAATTACTGGCAGTCTAATGGTTTTCTTCTTTTTTTTTTTTTTTGAAAAAAACAAAACACTAAAAAGCCTGTTTTAGAATTTTTAACTAATAGCCCTAACGAGTATTTTTGATCAGTCTGTCATTCTTGTTTATTGCAATTGATGGATTTTTGCTTTTTTGTAGGAATGCGATTTATGCCCTCGGGGGGTTTCATTTTATAATTAAAATGCTCTGCAAACCTTGTAGGTGTGCTCTAAGCGAATGCTCCTGTGTACACACAAATCTTTTTAGTCCTTACAGGTAATTACATCTGACAATAGGAAATGCCAGAATGCTTATTTAAAGAAGGGAAAGGATTCTAATGGAAGTGGGGGGAGTTTTCGTTGTAAAAAGTCCGATGCTTTACAATATTATAAGCTCTTTCCCTATAGACAGCAGGTACAAAGCCGCAGGGGATGAACTATGAGAAATTTGCTTTTAATCCGAAAAAGGGAATAAAAATAAAAATAGATGCTCATCTTCATTTGGTGGTCCTTTTCCGGTCTCCCACCACCAGATTTCAGGACATTTTTTTTTCCTCCAGGGTTTGTTTGCAGCTGTCTGCCTTGTTACAATCAGTTGTTCCGTAATCACCTCGTGGGGGCTTCTCCAGAGACTCAGTCCACTGCAGTGCAGGGAATATTCTCGATTAACGTGGTGAGATTGCCATGGAGACAGATTGCCTAGTGTCAGGTCTCGCGTAGTGTTGGGAATTTACAACCCCCAGACGTGTTTGTGAGCTGGACAGTGTAGTTACCAGGGACACTTCTGGAAGTCATTTTCTCGGTCCTTTGAAGGGTAGCAGTGTTTGGGAAAACCAGCTCTTGGTTCCTCTCCAGGCAGGAGCTGTGCTCTCCCACAGATGCCTGCTGCTTTTGTTCCTGCGTGTTGCTGCTTTGTTCTTCTCGGCCTGAACGGCTGCTGCAAAAAATAATCCTGACTGCCTGACCTTTGGAATATAAACTGGGAAGAGCGCCTTGTTTAGATGTAGCTTTGTGGGGGATATGTTGATGCTTTGATTCAGAGAATTGTTCAAGACAAACCAGAAAGTCTGCTATAGGTTTCAAATATTGTTTTAGTAATAATAAAAATAAACCTGAAAGGGACTTTTGTAGCTACATTGTGTTTTATTTTTGGAACTGAGCTACAGCCACAAAGGTATTGTGAAGACCTCAAGAACAGTAATCTCAGAATAAGTAAAAATAATTTATCTGCAAAGCCTGGAGAGTTGACAACTCATTAGGGAGAGGAGGAGATAAGAGATGGACTTTAAACCATAATACCTTCAGCGTTTTTTCACATATACTATTTTAATTAAATCTTTAGAACAATGCCATGTCAAAGGCATTATTATTATTTTTTCTCCTTTACAAAAAGCAGATGAAGAGGTTAAGCAGGAGATGGGCTGGTGATTAATTAGATCAGTTAAAAGGTGCAGTGTGGCTCAGCGTCCCAGCACAGCACTGGAGATGTTAATGAGGTTTGTTGATTACTTTCAGGGTGCCTCGTAGCAGCGTTGGTTGTTTGCTGAACTGCTCTATTCTTGGACCCCTCTGGTACTTAGTGATGCTGTGATTGCTTTAGGGTCACTTGCCGCTAGGTTATAGGGGTTCATCCCTGGCTCCTACCCACTCAGATGGATCAAAACATGCCCTGGGCGGCTCCTTAGCACACCCCAGCCTCATAGTGGCACTAGCTCTCGGCCATGTAGAACCAAAGAACACAGGGACTATGTCTCTTCCAGATGTGTTTGTATCTTGCGTCTGTCTTGGGGCAAGTTGGCGTAGGATAATAGGATCATATTCTGGCTGATTTCCGGTCTAGTACAGTTAAGAAATTCACCTTCATCATGCTTAAGCTGGAAGATTAAACTTATGCCATACTGGAATGCCCTGTTGACAAAGTTCAGAAGGTAGAGCTGAAAAATTTGAGATACGGTCATAACCCAAATAGGAGAAGGATTTACCAAAGTGTTGGTGGTAAATTTCTCTGGAGAAGGAATAGAATTGGGAGGTAGGGATGAAGGAGGGCTTTAGAGTTTTTGTGTATATAATCTATGGTTAGACAAAGATATATTTAAGTAAAACAAAACAAAAAAGTCCTTAGGAACTAGAATATGGTACTGCTTTGACAGCCTGTGGATTTAGCAGGCTGTAGAGAATATAGATCCTTTAATTGGATGAGGTCCAGTCTGCGCACTGAGGTCGTTGATGGATGTTTTAAACCAGGAATTGGAACTGAATGAAATATTGATTTGGTTCAGGTTCAGTTCAAAGGCTACTCTGATATTCTGGTTTTGTTTCAGGTCAATAATTTTAGAAAAAGGCACAGGTACAGTACAGTCTAGTTGAGCTTTAGAAGGAAAAAGGGTTGGCTCAGTTTCTATTCAGCAAAGGAATTGTTTATTCCAGGTTTTGCTTCAAATGGGACTGGTGAAATCATTGGAGTTAATTTTTTTTGACAGGAAAGTCTTCCTACCATTTTGTAATTATCAAGGGAGATAATGGAGCCTGAAGCAGCAAAGCTAAGCCATCACAAAGTGTTTTGTTTATGTTGAGGTAAATGTGTGCAGTGTTCAGGTGGCTTTCTTGACACATGATGCATACTGTTCATGAAGCCATCGATTAGGGGATCCAGTTCTGTCTTTTATTATTTATTTATTTATTTATTTATTTATTTATTTTTAAATTTTTTGGGAGAAATAATTTCTGTCTTAGGGCAGTTTTCCTGGGGACTTTCCACCAAATGCATTTTATGGGCTGAGAACTGGGTGAGGCTTGGAACACTGCAGACACTCAGTGATTGTAGCAAACTGAGTGTGAAGTTGATGGTAAACACTGTGATGGAAAAGTATGTTTGGTTTTGCTTTGCTTTCCAAAAAGATGTTTGAGAGACTCAGTTGGGCCACATGGTTTTCATAGAATCCTTTTTCTGCAGCCTGTCTTTGCAAGGTGATTTTCTCAATGGGGTGGCCACTGACCAGCTGGAGAACTTCACTTTTTCCCTCAATTTGAGTTGTCAGATTTGGTAATGCTGCCTCCAAAGGCCTCAACAAAAGGCCATTCTGTAGATCGAGAAGGGCTGTGTGCTACTTTGCAAACTTAGAAGTGGTAGGCAGGGTCTCTGCACGATATTCTGGATTGGCTGCTTCTTTTTTTCTTGGGTCTACTTGACATCATAAGAAATTATTCTATTTGAACTCTCCAGATGAGCCAATTAATTCTGACCTCCTAGGGGAGAGGATGGTAGTAGGATGCGTGTTTATGCTATGTCAGTCAGAGCTCCTGGGTCCAGGGCTACCCTGGTTTTCTCCTTCAGATTCAGGGACTCTCAGATTCAGAGGATTATGGCCCTGCAGTGTTCTTGTCAATAGTGGTGAATTTGTTCCTTGACTTGGCTGTTTCTCTTAATGAAACGGTAACCTAATTAATTGGTAATTAGGATACCTCAGAGGTCTGTTTCCCTGTGAATCAACCACTCCATAGAATATGAGTCTAGTAAAGCCCCAGAATATTCCCCAACAAAAGGAAAGTGTATGCAAAAAGTTGTGGATGTCATTGCAAGCTGGATTAGTTAGGAGCTTGTGTAGTTGATGGAGCCAGTGTACTTAAGTGATGCATCACAAGAGGGAGTATTATATAGTCCTCCTCTTCCTTAGACTAGTTTGGCCAATTAACTACAACCTTTCCTGTCGAATAGAAAGAACACAAGCTATGACTCTCTACAACAGCTCTTTATTGTGTCCTCCACGTCTTTTCACAGGAGTGACTATTTTTGGAATTCTTCCTGTAGGGTTGCATGCTGAATTTCTTCAATCCCCAACTCCTCTCGTTGTGCTTTGCAGGAGAAGCTGTGCCTGAGGATGAACAGATCAGTGCTAAAGACCAGAAGACCTTGGAGCCCTGCGATAACACCCCCATCATAGACAATATTGCTCCTGTTGTTGCTGGCATCTCTGCAGAGGAGAAAGAGAAGTACGACGAGGAGATCTCCAGTCTCTACAGACAACTGGATGATAAGGTCTGTAGCCGAAGATTATGGTCCTCACTCTGGTACAAAGATGAGAGGTGGCGGGTTCTAGACTGATTAGCCAGAAGCAGCTTCAAGCCCTGTGGGGGCGCTGATTTAGGGCTCCGGACTGATGTTTATGCCTGTCTTCCTAGTATCTACCCTAGCTCTTGATTGGGCAGACTCAGAGAACCTAGTTCATGTGGAATGGAAGCTTTTATGGAAGTTTGATTGGAAGACTAGAGAGTTAGTCTAGATAGACAGAGTCTTCACTTCTGGACATTATACCGGAGCTAATCACTGCAGGAGAGTGGGGGTGGTATAAGAGTGCATGATCTTTGTTTCATTGTCCCTTCTATTCTTCTCTGGGCCTCTGCCTCACCTCTTGAAACTCCAACAGTAGTGCCAGCTATAGGGGCAGGGTGGTGGCTCCTCTAGCGAAATGTGTGAGGAACCAATGGTCGCGGTGTGTGGCAGGTTTCCTTTACTGGTAAATCTGTTTTCAGGGGCATACTCTTGAACGAAGTGGTTTGAACATGCTGGTTAGGGGTGTCCAATTTTATGGTACACTCTGGGACTCAAGTAGTCATGTAAATGCACAAGATGGAACAGAGGAGAAGAGGCCTTGGAGAATGCTATGCACCATTAATCCCCAGTGAAGGTCAGGTTAGGGATCCCAGAGGGATAGGAAATTAAATTGATGTTTCACGTGATCTTGGCATATTGCCCTTGGAATATTCTAAATCCTTTCAGTTCATTTCATCAAGGTTGCTGGTATTTTTAGTCCAATTTAATCTTTTCTGTTGTGGTGCAGCTCAGAGTATTTGGGGACACCTCTGGTTTGTCTGAAACAGCTTTGTTATGTTAACATTGCCATTAATCTTACCAGCCTGTCTATTCTGAGTGAGGCTCCGTCTGTATCTGTATCACCTTTACAAGCAGAATGTGAAGCTAGTTCTGCTTATCTGTGACCCTGGGAATTCGCATTGTGACGACAGAGTTAAACTGGGGGGACCGTACCTTTTTGGTAACCTATTTAATGAGACATTCACACCCAAGAGAGCTGGGCTAATTGCCCTTTAGGTGCTTGACACACTGTTATCCTTCCATTTCTAACCAGATATTATTATGCAAAACCTCAAAGTCAGAGAAAAAGGAGATCAATAGTAAGTTAACAATGTATGCAATTTCTTGATTTCTCCAGAGAAATGCTATTGTTTTAACATACTGTGATTTTTTTTTTCATTTTAGAATTGATGGGTTCATTTTAGTAATCCCCAGAGAATTTTGAATGAGGGATGATGACCTGATTCTCTACTCTGTTCTCTATGAATAGACTCCTGTCATGGTTGGAATGGGGATCATTCACCTTGGTAGCATGAGCAAATTTCATTGATCTGAGAGAGACTTTAGAGTCTTAAATGCAGCTCCTGAAATGTAGTGAGGAGGACTGGGTCCGAGTGAGGAAAATGCCATGCCTTGGGGCTTTTTGGTTGGTAGCTGGCAGAGCTGACCCTGGAGTTTCTGCCCCCTGATGACCAGCCCAGAACACTTCCTGTTGTATTATTTTCCGATGGCGTATGCTTTGAAGACCCTCAAACACACACATTTTGAGGTTAGCATTTGTGGTCCCTCATAGGGGGTTGCTGAGATCGGAGAGAGCACTGAGCTCCCTAGCCCTAGAGGGCACCAAAGCTGGTGGTTTGACCTTAGTGACTACCCGTGGTCTGCCTCATTATGTCTTTATCAGCCATCATTGTTATTTGTCCTCCTCTTAAAAGTTCTAGAAGGTATTTCATGCTTCTGATGAGATAGGTGGTTTGATACTTTGGAGAACGCATAAGTTGGAACATGGCATCTTCGTAGATTATTGAGTGGTAGAGCTGAAAGCATCTGGATCCAGATGAGAAGCTAGCCCATGGTGGTTATGTGACTCCCCCCAAGTTCACATTACCTGCAGAGCAGGAATGAGGCTGTGTATCTTCTGGCTCCGAGTCCTGTGGTCATCCCGTTCGGTCTTAGCCCTTTAAACGAGGGACTTGTCAACCCTAATCATTTAGGGTTTAGAATGTGGTGGGAGAAAGGCTACATGGTCTTCTCCCAGCTGCCCCCTCTACCCCTCTGTGCTGTCTCTCCAAGGGTCTAAGGACAGGTACTGTCCAAGGCAGTGCTGTGTGATGGAAAAGCATACACTTTTGAGTCAGATCTGTGTCTTAATAATGCTGAGACTTGGGCCGATGAACAGCCTACCCAGCTGAAGTTTTCTTTCTCATCTTCAACACGGGCTCATATCTGTTAACACCCCAAAAAAGTTGCAGTGGGAATTAAAAGTTTCTAGTGTGTCACAGTTGCTCAATAAATAGTTTCTTTCTCTTCTGGGTTCTGTTTGCTTGAGGGAGAATCCCACCTTATGTGGTATCAGAGGTGGGGGGTGCAGAGATGAGTTATGAGCAGACTTAGAAGATGAGCAAGTTGGTGTTGGCACTGTCTCCTTTATTCCTCGTCTCCTGCCATCCTCATGCTCTAGTGGAAATGTGAGAGAGGAGTTCAGTGCAAGTAGAAATAGAAGTTGAACCTCATTTCACTGAGTACCATTGCAACAAAAACATTTTTATAATTAAAGGTGGCCAGTGATGGGCTGACAAGTCACCATTTCACATGTAAGAAAATCCAGGAACAAGAATATTTTCTGAAAAGTGCTTTGAAATCTGTTGCGTATGGACTAGCTTTTAATAGTCAGCATCAGACTGAGCACGTTCTAAGAAGTGCACTTGAATGTGTAGCTGTGGACTGCATGGCACATTGTATTCTGAAAGTTTTGAAAAAAAAAAAAATTTAAAGATCAATTCCTTGGAGAAGTTGCCTTAACAAAGCGTTAAGTGTAGTTTTGGAAATATCTCTGGTACAAGTGATTCATGTCCTTATAATGTAATCCTGTTCTTCACATCCTTCCCAGACGGCCTAGTGGCCCTGAGTTTCTTACTGTACCTCAGAAATCACTGCACCTGGCTTGTCACCTGTCGGGGAGGAAGGCTGCGTCTTCAGGCTTTGAAATGAACACAGTGTGAGAACAAAGGGCTGGCTCCACCGTTCTGCTTCTCTTGTGATTTATATCGCTTGTAGCCATTGCTTATGTGTCCCAGGGGAAGGGATGGCAGCTCCCTGATGTTAAACTTCTGGAGTCTTTTATGTTAAGTTGTTTAATATTTATGTGCCAAGGAACATAAACACAAAGTTGTTCCTGGTAACTGACACTCTTAAGTTTATAAAGTAGAAGAGAAAATATGCCCTACAGAATAGTCTCCTAGTTGTGCAAGTACCATTTTCTGGCAGTTTCACTCTGGTGTAATTTCCCTAATTCTCCTGCCAGAAACCGAATTTGGGGAGGAGAGTCATGAGTATTTTGTTGAACCATTAAAGAAACATTGATGTAAAAAGTTCAGTAGAAACGGGGTCTCCCCAAACAGGGAAATAAGACCAAAAGATGTTCTACACAAAGGAAGACGAGATACAGATCCTGTAATACTGATTTTGGAATTTTCTTGCTCTGTGGAAAGCATTCGTCGTGATGCTGAGTCAATCTGATTTAAATGGAAGCATAGACAGGACCAAACAGTCTAGAGAATATCCTGTGGAAAACTGAGGTCCTGCGCGCCAGGCCCTTGAGTTCACCCCTCTCACCTGACCCCCGGAAAAGGCGGAAGGCTCAGTGCAGGTTTTCATGGGCTGCTGTGAGAACGCCTGGGCCACACCTGGCACAAAGAGCGACCCCATAATACCGAATCTGACTCTGCTTGGGGTTTAGACCCTGGAAGTGTTATCCAATAGGATTTCCTCCTGTGTTTACGGGAGGCGCACTTGGGAAGCCAAGTTGCTCTTCACAGGCTAGGCTTCACATTTGCATCTGAACTCATGAAAATCTTTGTAGTGAAGACTGAGCTTCCTGCTGTTAAATGTTGTCTGCCCGCTGCTCTGCCCACACTGGCTGGCTGGTGTCTGGGAGAGGCAGAGACGTTTGCGCTGGGCAGTGAGAGGCGGACAGCTCTGGCTTTTGTGGCAGCAGCACCTAGTGGCAGAAAATGAGAGTGAGGGAAGCAGATTTGTCCGTGGGCAGATCATTTCCCACTTCAGTGACAGGCGGGAAAGTAAGCCTTAACTTTCTGCATCCCCCACTTCCTTCAGTGTTTTTGTTTTTTTCAAGTGGTAAGAAAATTAACTTCTAATCAAGGGGGAGATCTGCTCATGCTGAAGATTAATTCTCTAGTGAATGTTTTTCCAGTGTCTGTAAGTAAGAGATTTGAAGTGGAAATACTGGTCTCTCCTACCGATCACGTGGCAGCATTCCTGGTCATTGATGTGTTTGACGAGATTTGGAACGTGAATATATTACAGTGCAGATGGTTAGAAATTCACTCCCTTATTTTTTCTTAGCATCTTTGAATTGGGAGGGATAGCTTCAAAGTCCTTTCTGATTCCCAAACCCTGGATCTCTGATTTCTGGATGAGCAGGAATTGAGTTGAATGTGTAGGATATTATATATCCCAGAGTACCCAGATGTTTCATCTGCTGAGAAAGGCGGAGAAAGGAGATACTTTAACCAAATCAGGACCTCAGAGTCAATCTCTCATCTATGGGGGAAGAATCACACCATTCCCTTCATCTTATTAGCAAGCCTACAGCTGGCGTCCTGCTATCTGACTGTCGTCGGGAAGCCAGGATATCAAAAATGACATAACTAACCCCAAAACATTAAACATGATGTTTCGTTTCAGGATGATGAAATTAACCAGCAGAGCCAGCTGGCTGAAAAGCTAAAGCAACAGATGTTGGATCAGGACGAGGTAAAGAATGCAATAAATTTTTTTTTTTATGAAGTTCTCTTATTACTCTTTGTTGTTGACATTTGTTCCAGAAATTTAATTTGCACAGAATTTTTTCAAAAATCATTGAATCATGTGGACATTTCTTGGTAGATTTCCTTTGAATGCCTGTTAAAAGCTGAGTTTAGAAAATGAATGTCTGACTTTGTAGACCTCTGAGGTTTTGAGAGTGCATAGCTGGTTGCTACACTTAGTCTTTGAAGAGCAGAGATAAAGGAGTTCTGTGATTGGACAAGGACGATTCTAACTCCTCATACCCAGCGCCTAGCACTCCCATTTCTTGCTGTTTTAGTTCTTTTCAGCTTTGCAAATCAGCCGGCTCAGGTCTTTGATATATACTGTGTTCTTGTGCTACCTTGTAGGAGGTAAAAAACCAAAAAACAAAAGTAGAGATAGAGGGGAGGAGAAGGCAAAGAGGAAAGGGCTCAATTAGTATGTGTTTGAGATAGTAAAAAGGAGGCAAATTGGTTTCAGTCTTTCCCTGGATGGTGTTGAGTTCTCCAGTGAATGTCCTTATTACGTTGTGTTTTGCCAAGTATTTAACAAACAGGAACCCAAACAAAGGATAGATAGCCAGTCTGTCAAACATAGATGATTAGTTTCTCTTGCTGAGGACCACCTAAGTATTTTTTCTCTTTTGTGCTTTAGGGTACTTTCTGCTTTGTTGCAAAAGTGCTACGGATTGGATTACATGATACAGTTCCAGCAGGTGGCTTGAGCTCATGTCCGTAGTCCCAGCCTTCCCATAGACCTATTTCTCTCTATAACCATTCCTTTCTCTTCCTCTTTGCTTCCCTTCATCACTTCAGGACAATGATTATGCCACCTGTCCAAACACTTCCCTTGGCAGGGAGATCATCTATGCCTTTGCAGTCAGACCAACCATATTTAATTGATTTTCCTCTTTTTTTTTTTTCGTAATTAAAATTTTTTTTTTTAATTTTTAAAAGAATTTTTAACATTTATTCATTTTTGATAGAGATAGAGCACGAGTAGGGGAGGGGCAGAGAGAGGGAGACACAGAATCTGAAGCAGGCTCAGGGCTTCAGGGCTTGAACCCATGAACTATGAGATCATGACCTGAGCCAAAGTTGGACGCTCAACCAACCGAGCCACCCAGGCTCCTGAATTGAGTTTCCTCTTGCCTGTAGTTGAGTTTTTCATCTGCTCAGTGTCTCCTGCCTTCTTCCTCCCTTTTGATTCCTTTGCATCTCCAACTTGGTACAATTGCCTATGATAAACTTCCTTGTTGTTACATTTAAAACTCAGTATTGTTTTTCTATACAGCCACGGCAATATCTGTTCTGATAGGAAAATCAGAAAACACAGTAAGCACGAAGATAATGAAAATATCCACAAGCCTACTCATTCACTTTTAACTAATGTGAATGTTTGGGATATATCCTTCTATACACTCATGATCAGTATTAAGAAAAATTGGCAATTGCTTTATACTGTTTTGGTTGGCTCTGAAATGGACCTGTTACAATGTGAAATAATGGTAACGTTAAAAAGCCAAGTGGTATTATTGTCATCCTCAGAGATGATTCCCTTCATTCTTTGTTCACCATTTGGAATAGCCAGCCAGCCACAGAGTGGGGTGATTTTTGATGTGTTATCAGTTCTTTGAGTGAAGCCTACCTAGCTTTAAAGTTAAAGAAACAAGGGGCGCCTGGGTGGCGCAGTCGGTTAAGCGTCCGACTTCAGCCAGGTCACGATCTCGCGGTCCGTGAGTTCGAGCCCCGCGTCGGGCTCTGGGCTGGTGGCTTGGAGCCTGGAGCCTGTTTCCGATTCTGTGTCTCCCTCTCTCTCTGCCCCTCCCCCGTTCATGCTCTGTCTCTCTCTGTCCCAAAAATAAATAAAAACGTTGAAGAAAAAAAAAAAATTTAAAAAAATAAATAAATAAAGTTAAAGAAACAAAAAACAACCTAAAAACACTAGAAAGAAAAAGAAACAGATACTTGAAACCTCATGCTATTTTCTTATTTTTTTTTTTTTATTTTTTTTTTTGGCATCTGTATATACAATAAGGTTTCTAGGCATCCTGAGCATCCTATATCTGTTTTTAAAGTTACTTTATTTTGGAGCGAGCCCAGAACATAAACACTTGAACATTACACTCACCAGTTCTATGCCATCTCATTTCCCCAGCTTTTGGCTTCCACAAGAAGAGATTATGAGAAGATCCAGGAAGAACTGACACGTCTCCAGATTGAAAACGAGGCAGCCAAAGATGAAGTGAAAGAAGTTCTCCAGGCTCTGGAAGAGCTGGCTGTCAATTATGACCAGAAGTCCCAGGAAGTAGAGGACAAGACCAGGGCCAATGAGCAGCTGACAGATGAGCTGGCCCAGAAGACGGTTGGCACATTTGTGTCTAGGGGGGGTGGGACTTTTCCGTTGCTGTTCCTGTACTTATGTTGATCTGTTGACAGACACTATATAGGAAGGCAGTTGGCAGAATGGTTCTTCAGTGTTAGATACATTCTCTGAAATCCTCCAATAATTGAAATGGTAGTTCATGTAGGTGACGTTTGTCTACACATCCCCGAACTGCATATTGTTTCATATCCAGGGGATTTATAACATTAGCGCGGATGCCTTGTGAATAGTCAAGAGCATGCAGACTTTGGAGCCACAAAAATCCTTGTTAAAATTTCGACTTTATAACTATTAGGCCTTAATGAACACAAGTAAACTTCATGAGTATTTGTTCCCTTATCCGTTAATAACATACACCTTTCAGTGCATGAGAATTAGTGACAATTTGTATAAAGCACTTAGCACAGACCTGTGCATATGCTACAATACCAATAGATAAATCTCAAAATGTTATATAAACAAGTGAGAGTAGGTGACCGAAGGAAGGTGTGGGTTTCACTCTTGTTTGTACCCTCCTGATGGAAACTCATTCCTTCCACACGCTTTCTTGTCCTAGCCTAGGACTGATTGTCCTGGTGTGTTTGTCATCCTATTTTACACCAGTGCTTCAGTCTGCACATTTCCTAAATTTCAGATTCTCCCAGTCAAAGATGCCACAGGTTCTGCACAATGAGCTAGTGTCAGCAGGGACAGGGAGCACTTGGTGACGTGGCTGGTGGCAAGATGTTTCCATTTTGTCCTTTTCTACTTGGAAAATGGGTGGTGGGAAACCGAGTGGCTCTAACTGGCTGCCCTTGGCACCTTGGCCCAATGGCCTGCTATCATAGGATTGTGCCTAGCCTGCTTTATGGAAGACTTCCAGTCCTCCCAGGCAAGGGGTAGCAGTTGGTGCAGGAAAGCTCTAACCTGCTGACTGTACAGCTGATGAAAAAGACTCCTAACTCCGTATATTCAACTGCATGAAGGAAGACTTTTAAATGGCTTTCCAAGATGTGAACTATTGCTTCTGTGGGTTTTAAAAACAAAACGAAGTAAGTGGTGGCAAAACCAAAAAAGAAACAGAAAACAAACCAGAAATCACTTAGGAAAGGAGGAGACTTAGATTTTCTCTGCTTACTCTTTTCTACAGGATTCTTTAATTAGTCCTTCATATTATTTGCTTCTCAAAATGATGGAACATTTTCCATAATAAGGTCCTTATTTTCTGCCAAGCCAAAGTATTACTAGACTGGTATGGGGTACTATTTTCAGTCAGATCATTAAAAAGTGCTCTAGGAAAATAGCTGCATATGGAAGAATTTCATAAGTGTCTTTGCGTTGACCTCCACAGCTCTGAAATTTAGGGAAATTATTTTCTTTGCTGGCTGAGTTAATACCAAGACACCAAAATATGACTATTCTACTGATGTTGAGAGTTCGTTAAGTTCGTTGTAAATATCTACCTTCTGGTAACATACACGAGGGATGGGAAAGAGATGGGTTGTTAATGTTTGGCAATAAAATGGAGCTACTGCTATATGTTGAGACGAGGACTTGACTCATTTTAAAAAGAGATGAGAGTGTTCAATTCAGCTTCACTGTGAAGGTTAGAAAACTTTTCATAAGTTGTTTTCTAAACTGATGAATGTCTCTCTGGGCCTTCCAGACCCATCTATTACTGCGAAGTCAGATGGGGATCTGGAAATGGCCTAGGGAGCAGGTTGGTTTGGAAATGGGGGTGGGGTGTTTGCAGGTATGTTTGGACCCTGGAAAATGAGGACCAAAATGGAACATCTTGTGGGTAGGAAGATGTGATCACATGCTGTCAACCTAAGGGCTCCCTTTGGGCTTTATTTTTTAATAACTTATTTCACCACCCCAGAGATTGTCACATGATATGTCGATGCAACGTACCAGGCCATGACAAATTCTCCTTTTTTTCTCAGAGAATGCAGTGTTCCACTACAGTTCAACTTACGTTGAGATCGCATGAAATGATGAAAGAACTCCATTCTACATTATGTTGTCATTCTTTGTAGTACCGTGGGTATGAATTGATGGGCAGCTCTTTTAATTTGCTGTTAAAATGTGTTTTTCAGACTACATTGACAACCACACAGAGAGAGCTGAGCCAGCTACAAGAGCTTAGCAACCACCAGAAGAAGAGGGCTACTGAGATCCTGAATTTGCTGTTGAAGGATCTGGGGGAGATAGGTGGAATTATCGGCACCAATGATGTGAAGACTGTAAGCCAGCCCTTCCTTTTGCCCACCCCCCCCCCCAATCCGTGCTTATAACGTGTGATCCTAAGCAAGCGGTGTCTGTGTTTTATTATCCTCAGTATCTAATGCTCAGTACAGTGTTTTGCACCTGCCACCTACTTGTTACTATTTGAACAAATGAACCAAGGGCTGAATGAATGACTAAGAATGACTGGGTTTGGAAAAGAAGAAAAAAATTACCTTTCAATTGTGTTATTTCTCAAACTTATATGCCAATGTCACAGAAGTTTGGGATTGGATAGGTTAAACAACACTTCTAATCTCAGAATTGTGTTTCTCTTTTTCTGTGAGAACCCAGCAGAATGAAAATTCCCCAACCAATTGGTATGAATTAGGAAAGCTTTCAGCTGAAAGTAATAGGATTCTAACAGTGGCTTAAGAAATAAATCCACATTTAATTATTCACAATATGAGAAGTCTAGAATTTGCTATTCAGGTTGTGATCTGCATCGCCTGGGAGTTTGTTGGAAACTTGGAGTTTGTACAGACTCTCAAGCCCACTGCAGACCTACTGAAATTAGAATCTGCATTTTAACAAGATTGTCGAGGTCATTCTAACCTTATTAAAATTTCAGAAGCAAATTTTGGTCCAGTGTCCCAATGATGTCAAGGATTCAGATCTTTTCTTTGTTTCCTTTCTGCTTTTGTTAGCTTGTTACCTTTTTACATTCTTAGAATTTTGTCTCGTGGTAGCAAGATAGCTGCTATGGCACCGAGCATCGTATCTTCGCACAACCACATCCAAGGCGGGATGGGTTGAAAAGGCAGCCAGTTTCCATCCAGGATGGAATTATATCCCAGAAGTCCCTGAGAGATGTCCCCTTATACCTTACTAGCCAGAATTGGGTTACATGGTCACCCCAAATTGCAAGGGAGGCTGGCAAAGCAAAGGGAAATAGTATTGCAGTAATTGGCTTCAACGAACCGTGATAGATCCCCTGGAGTTGTGCACATTGGTGCTACTGACAGCAAGGAGTAAGGGAGGTGGGAAGAATGGGAGTGGTATGAAGTTTTCCATGAGCCAGGAATAGAGGGACAAAAGAGTGTGTGCAATGTTATCAGGCAAGAATGGTTAACAATTGCCGCAGTATAAGGAGATCGAGATTTTAAAAAATGGCTTTATTAAGGAGGTATAATTGACATAAATTAAGCTGCAAATATTTAAAGTGCATAGTCTGAAGAGTTTTGACATATTATACGCTCATGAAACCATTACCAAGTAAGATAATGAGCATATCCATCACCCCCAAAAGTGTGTGGGACTGTTTGATCTAATCGTTATGCTAAAACCACACTGTTTTGATTACTGTAGCTTTATGATAATAATACAGCACCTTGTACAGAATAGCCATTGATAGCTGTGGTGGATTTTGGCAAGCCAGGGAATAACATTATATTGTTTAACGTCTACTTCACAAGGCCCTAAAATCAAATTCTTTGAGGTTAGCCCTTTAAAAGGCTGAATTCTACCTCAGCCTTTATGGGCACACTCAGGGTGTGAGTTGGGATTGTTAAATACTAGAAAAGGCTCCCCAGATTCCTTCTGTTTATAGACATTTCTGGGAAACGTAGAAATCCCTTCTTAGATGACATAACAGATCTAGGCTTAGCGTATACAACCTTTTGTAAACCTAATCATTCTTTCATAGAACCTCTCTTGTAACTGCATATCTCATGAATCTTTGCAAATGAATCTAATTTTAGCACTGAATTCTCAAATACTACAAGATTAACCCTATTAAGATCCAGTTTGGTGATTTTATATATGGGGATTTAATTTTTAGAAGCATGCTGGCTTTGGTGTTGAGCTATAAACTTCTGAGATTTGGGTGATTAAATGGCCCTTGCAATATGAAGGTGGAATTGATTTATGAGAAGTTGGTGCCTGCTGCTGATAACGATAAGGGAAGATATTTTTATGCTAAGTTCTAAAATAGAGCTAATGAGAAATGCTAATGAAATCAAGAAGTGTCTGGGTGCTTCGGCATTAAAAAAAGAGTCCTTACCTTTGGGAATCTGAAGTATGATTGAGATTATTTTTAAATGCTCAACTGGATGTTTTCCGGATATTTTTGGATTCCAGACATTGGATGCCTTAGTTAGTTTCATTGATAACTAGTTATTTTCATTGATAACTCTCACTCAGAGAGCATCATATTCTTAATCATTATGGAGTTTGTTTTTTCTTACAGTTATGATTTAATCATTAGGGCAATGAGAACTAAAGGGGAGGGGTTAGGGGACTTTGGGCAATTTCACTTCACTTCTTGAGGCTTCACTTTCCTGATTTGTAAACTAACGAGATGAGCCCACATTATCTTAAAGGTCAGCTCAGAAATGTCATGAGTTATACATATATTTTTTAAATCTATGTATTTAAAAATTGGAGTATTGGTTATGAGTATTCAACTAAAGTAATTCTTTTATCTAAAACAATGATCAGATCAGGGAAAACTTTGTCAGTGATCCTGTTTTCTGTTCCTGAAACCCTATTCAGTTCCCACAGTCCCTTCTTTTTTTTTTTTTTTTTTTAATAATTTTTAAAAAATATTTATTTATTTTTGAGAGAGAAAAAGACAGAGTATGATTGAGGTAAGGGGCAGAGAGAGAAGAAGTCACAGAATCTGAAGCAGGTTCCAGGCTTAAAGCTGTTAGCACAGAGCCTGATGCAGGGCTTGAACTCACCAACTGAGAGATCATGGCCTGAGCTGAAGTCGGACGCTTAACTGACTGAGCCACCCAGGTGCCCCCAACATGGTCCTTCTGGTCGTACCTTGGGATAAGGGGAAAAGATGTCCTCACTTCAAGAATACAACAGGCTCAGACAGCAGGGAAATAGAAGAACCCACATTTATCCAGCTTAATCATGTCTTCAAACGTTTTTAGAGTTCAGGCAATACTTTGTTTAGTCAGCAAAATGAGACCAACAAATGATGCCATGAGCCTAGAGTTGACTTTATCTGGGTTTATTAGTGAGCTTCCTCTTCTTGTCTTGTTTATCAGGCTTTCTTTAAAACAAAGATTTCCAGAAGTCTAACCACACACCAAATAGAAAGTTGAGGCAGATTAAATGAAAGGGATTGGATTAACTGCCAATTTTTCTTTTGACTTTGGGTCTGGGGAGGTGGAGATGAAGAATTTTAAGCATCAGGGACCCTGCTATGGCTGAGCAGAGAGCAGGATAAATGCTCCAGATCCTGGGCCTGATCAACCCTCATCACCAACAGCGCCACTCCCGTCAGCCTCTTCAACACAGCCTTGGGTCTGGAGGGTCCAGGGTTTCGGGGTCCCAGCCCCCAGCCAGAAGGGTGGCCCCCAGGAAGTCTAATGTCTCCAGTCCCCTCCTGTCCTTCAAGCTCTCGGAAGCAACCGCTTCAAGCCTTAGCTGTGTACTGCACTAACAAAGCAAATGGACATTTCTGGGCATTAAAAAAAGAAGAAGAAGCAGCAAAAAAGGACTCCTAGTCCCATTCTGACTCTTAGGTGTTAGAATGTGAACAGTCACCTCACCTGCCTTTTACTTGGCCTTGAGATGGCACCTTGCGTAGTCACTCCATGCTCTAGGGACCTGGAGTGGTGGGTATGGAGGAGACTTCTAGTAGGCGGGCAGGCAGCATATCATGCCCATGTGAAGGCAGTCTTTTCTTCTGGATTAGTCATCTCTGTTGGATCATGCAGTTTAGTGTGTACTGTTGGAGTCATTGTCAAACCCAGGGGAGAGTTATAAATAACACTTCTTGATTCTTTTTTTTTTTTTAATTTTTTTTTTTTTAACGTTTATTTATTTTTGAGACAGAGAGAGACAGAGCATGAACGGGGAAGGGTCAGAGAGAGAGGGAGACACAGAATCCGAAACAGGCTCCAGGCTCTGAGCCATCAGCACAGAGCCCGATGCGGGGCTGGAACTCACGGACCATGAGATCATGACCTGAGCCGAAGTCGGACGCTCAACTGACTGAGCCACCCAGGCGCCCCTCTTGATTCTCCTTTTTGAAATAACAGTGTACTGGGCTTGCTGAAAACTTTACATTTACATGACTGAATATATGAACTCTTAAGTGGTTAAAACAAAACAAAACAAACAAAGCAAAAACAACAAAAAGGCAACCTGATAGTAAAACCATTTGTTTGGAGTATTGTTTGTTTTTTGTTTTGTTTTGTTTTGCTTTGTTTTCATCAGACTTAAAACCTTTTAGGGGTGCCTGGGTGGCGCAGTCAGTTAAGCGTCCGACTTCAGCCAGGTCATGATCTCGCGGTCCGGGAGTTCGAGCCCCGCATCAGGCTCTGGGCTGATGGCTCGGAGCCTGGAGCCTGTTTCCGATTCTGTGTCTCCCTCTCTCTCTCTGCCCCTCCCCCGTTCATGCTCTGTCTCTCTCTGTCCCAAAAATAAATAAACGTTGGAAAAAAAAAAATTTATAAAAAAAATAAAAAAAATAAAAAACCTTTTAGACCTCCTAGGACAAGAGTGGGCTCCAGAAGTTATGGTTCTGGTTTGGGCGGAAGAACATCCAGCTTTCATATTGGAGGAAGCCTATTATTGTATATGCTCTTTTACTCTTCCCCAGCGCACACATCTGGGCATGGAGTATACAAAGTGTCCTCGTCTACAGACAGAGCTGGAGAGGAGGAAGTGCTTGTTCCCTTCCCAAAATTCCATGCCTGTTGGTTCAGTGTTTTTCCATGAGGAGCTGGTGTAGGTTGTGAATTCCACATGAAAGAGATAGATGTTCGCTTACCTTTCTGGTAAGCTGGACCACATATAGGACATACCTGGTGAGGCTCAAGAACAAGCTTCTCATGTCTGCTCCACGTTGGACCAATCACAAAGGCACAACAAAACTGCATGGAAAGATTAGGGGTGTTTCTCATCCGTTATCTCCATGCATGCTATTGGGTTGAAAAAGTAATGTGATGAGGAATGGTGTTGGGAGGCAAATCATTATTGGCAGTCGGAATTATAATTGGCTTAGCAAGAAACTCCATTAAAATAAGATGGTAGATAAGATTCTAGATTTTCGTTCTGTTAACATAGATTCTGCTTTGTGTTGATTGACACTGGAGTCATTTAACAAATACTGTTGTGGAATTCCTAGGGGAAGGTTGACCCCAGGTTACAATACTGTACAGTATTACAGTATTTTGTCAGCAATACTGACAAAAGTAGGCAGTTGTAGTGTGGAACATTAAAACCATAGTTGGAATCATTGTCTTTAGAACCAATTGAAGCCTCTATTTGTGGGCTGGGTACTGGACAGCTCTCTTGTTTTCTCTTGAGGTGCTAGGATGCCCTCTGGTGGTTAAACAAAATATGCACACAGTTACTTTGCTTATTTGGTCCATTGCTCTTCAAGAGCATCTTTGCCTCTCTGCAAATGAGCTTCTATCCCAAGTACCTTGCTTCAGTTTTTGTTTCCAGTTGAGCTCTGAAACTCAGACACCAAATATGAGATCGTTCAGGAATGCTGGCTGTCAGAATCTATCTTTCTAAAGGTGGATTCAGACTGTTAAATTCTCAGGTAATTTTAAATACTGCAAACTAAATTCTTGTTTCCTTAGAAGGGGCAGGCACAGAGGGGCACCTGGGTGGCTCAGTCGGTTAAGTGTCCGACTTCAGCTCAGGTCATCGTCTTGTGGTCCATGAGTTCAAACCCCGCATCAGGCTCTGTGCTGACAGCTCAGAGCCTGGAGTCTGCTTCTGATTCTGTGTCTCCTTCTCTCTCTGCCCCTCCCCTACTCAAGCTCTGTCTCTCTCGCTCTCAAAAAATGAATATATGTTAAAAGGGGGGGTGTAGTCACAGAGATGGAAATATTGATTGGTAGTAAGTGAAAAGTCATGTAGGAAAACCTTCTTTTGGTAGCAACACATTCTTACTAGATTTTTTTTTGTTTAATTGAAGACTATAAAGAAAATCCTTTTTTGTTTCAACAATTGTTTATAGAAGCATATTCACAACATTATTCTACTTCTCTGTCTGAATAGCAGACTATAGAGAACATAACTGAAATTTTTATTTGAGTTCTTATAGGGACTCAGAGTCCCCTTTAGGAACACTGGTGCTTGTAGTTATTCTAGAAATGTAAGGTATAAGACATTGAATGGAATACCTCATCAAAGTTAGCTCTTTTTAAGTATTCAATGTCTTTTTCCTCTGATATCATGTCTTTTATCTTACAAATTAAATGTAATCTAATTTTTTTATTAAGGATTCATTGATTAAGGATTATATTTAGAGAGGTTTTTAAGTCAGTCTTCCCCGAGGTTTCAGAAAACCTGGGGGATACACACACACACATGCACACACAGTGAACATACAAGTAATTTTTAGTGCTCATTTTCAGCTTGTGGTCCTATAATTAGGGATCCTTAATCAGAAATCCAGAGACATCTTGAGGATTCGTGGGCAGATTTTAGGGGCCCCATGAAGCTCTGGAAATTGTAGGCAATAGTTGAGCATATTCCTTCCTGTGCTCAGTTGGCAGATGTGAACGGAGTCATTGAGGAGGAATTCACCATGGCCCGCCTGTATATCAGCAAGATGAAGTCGGAGGTCAAATCCCTGGTGAACCGCAGCAAACAGCTCGAGAGCGCCCAGATGGACTCCAACAGGAAGATGAATGCCAGTGAGCGGGAGCTGGCAGCCTGCCAGCTGCTCATCTCCCAGGTAGGTCACCCCTCTTCCCCTTATGTCACTCCCTTGACCTCTTGAAATCTGCTTCCTCTGTGCTCTTACTGGGACAGTACACGATTGGGTACACGATAGGGATAGTCGGTGTACTTTGCTTTATGTAAGACTTGTCCGTGGCCTCCGCAGGCAACGAGAGCCCAGGCTTATTCTTAAGGCTAGATTTTGTTGTGTGAATTGCACGAATTCCCTTCAATCCCTTTTTAAAGGATGTGTCTACATATCCCTAACTATGTATGGATACAGAGGTAGGTAGGTAGAAATCTGTAATGAATGGATGAGATTGGATAGAATCTAAATCTCCTATCACCTAAGGCAACATTCCTTCATCTTTTAATCCCTACCACAGGTCCAATTTAATATGTGAAAACAGAAACTGTTGCCACTACTGCTATTATTAATAATAGTGGCAGGTAACATTCTATTGAGTGTTTACAATGCTCCATACACTGCACTGAGCACTTTACATGCATTATCTCACTTGATCTTTAAAAAAATCCTGGTGGGCAGGTTTTATTATTATTATTCTTATTTTTCAGATAAGGAAAGTGAGACTCAGAAAGATTAAATATATTCTGCCCAAACTCATATAGCCAGTGCAAGGCAGATCTGGGACTCAAACCAAAGCTTGTGTGAACGCAAAGGCTTGAAGGGATTTTCAAGCCCCGGGGCACGTTTCCTCTGCCCTGGGAGCAACACTGTTCTTCTTCCCACTGGAATGGCATTTTCATTTTAGGGAGTTGGTTTCAGAAGACGGCAGTCTAGTTTCTGGTCTGCCACTGATATCTGAGCTGGGTGTTTGGGGTTTGAGGCTTCTGTTGAGTGGTACAGGGAGAGCTGCTCACTGCCTTACACCAGGCATTAAAACAGCTGAAATCATTTGCAGGAATCTGATACCAGCATGGAGTGGAGCATCAAATAATACTGAGAGGCAGACAAAAGCATACTTCATTCTGGTATGCTTGTAAACACAGTAATATGTAATCATAGAACCAGCTCTAGCCGCCTCATGTCCCGCCATAGTAATCTAAGAGACGCAAATTAACGCATCAAGTTTTCATTTTATAACTGATGTAATAAGCAAAAATGTATTGAAAAGATTATTTAGTGCTGGTGTGTGATAGTGAAATTTATGTACATTGCTGAGAAAAGTGTAATTGGGTCAGTCCTTTTGGAAAGCACCTTGGGAATCAAAAACCATACAAATGTAAGTACTCTGGTGCAGGAATTTCACTTACGGTATTTTCACTGATAATGAAAATGCAAAAATTTTATTTTATATGTTATCATTTCCTGATTAAAATATGAAAAGCCTGTATGGAAGATGTTAGGTGCAATGTTACTTACATTATAATAAAATAAAATACCCAAATACCTATTCATAGACTGATAACATAAAGTTGCATGGGAGAATGCTATGTAGCTCTTACAAAGTATTTATGAAATTCAGCCATTTGAAAAGTTTAATTATATAAAGGTAACCGAAAATGAAAATGCAGAGTTATATTTATGCTTATGCCTTGCAACTTTATACAATATGCATTCATACAGTTAAAGATCAGGAATAGTCGATAAGTTAAGAGTGGTTTATGGGTGAAATCTTGCTGGATTTGCTTTATTTGACATTTTTATGATTTAAAAAACTTGAGAAAATAATAAACGTTAGGGCATGATATCCAGGTCACCTGTTACACTGATAACATGTGATTTTGGAAGGTCCCACCCCTAACATTTGAAGACCAAGGCAAGAGTGCAAATCGAGGTCCCTCAGTCTGCACCCTGCTGTCTCCTCTTTTCATCTTGACACACCAGCTTCCATGTCTAAGTCCCTTCTGCACTGTCTGTGAACTGGTGAAACTGTGTCACTGTCAACTCTAATCTGTATAACTTGATGACAGAAGCTGCAGTGTCAGCCCTGGGAGTGGGCTTTAGGGCCACTGGAGTAGTGAGTTTCTGCATTTCCAGTACCCAGAGTGTGGTCTAGAAGGAGACGTGGGTCCTACATGGCACACCCCCTTAGCCTACAGACTCTTGGCTCAGTGGAATGAGTGTAGCCAGAGGCCAGCCCACATGGGGTGCTCTAAAGTATGGGGCTCAGGATTGAGGGCTCAGTTGCCCAGGTCTTAGAGTGACATTGACTTTGGGCATATGAGAGCAGAGTCAAGAATATTTGAATGTTTCAGTGTTACAGGATACCTACGTTAGTGCTTTCTACATTAGCGACCAATGCAGCTTTCTTTTGGATGCTGCTTTGTAGTCTCTTACAATTTACACAAAGCCAAATATTCAATCATTATTTCCTGGGGTAGGTTAGACCTTGGCTGTTTATTTTCTGACACGATCTAAGGAATCTGACAAAATATTTCCAGCTAAAATGCTATTATCTTCTTCGTTGACACTCATCCTTTTCACCAAAAGCTACACTTATAACATGACTGCTCCACCTGAGTCCATTTCCCAGAGGTTATTTCATTAGATTAGAGCTCATTCTCCAGGGTTTTCCTTCCTTAATGTGAACACTGTACATCTTGAGGGAGGGGTGTCTACCTATTTCCATCTGCTTAGAAGGGCCAACTGTCTTTATTCAGTCAATGAGCTCCCATTCATTCATTGGTCCCACTAATATTTATTAGGTATCTACTCCATACCCTCATGGAGCTAACAAGTAAAAAGAAATAGATAAGTCATGTAGAAGTTGGATGCTGTAACAAAGTGTTGGGACCTGAGTGTTAAGGATTCTGGGAGGGTAGGCGGGAGCACTTCCTCAGGAGAGGAAAATGTAAAATGCAAGGTCCCCGACACAGGAATTGGTGTGCTTGAGAGACAGAAGAAGAAAAGACACAATGTTTGAGTTCCGAAGACAGAATCCACAGGTGTTGGTTCAAAGAATGAAGCCCTCTTCCCTACACATTTTCCCAGTCCTTTCTCTCTAGCACACTCTGTTTTCTACAAGGAGACAAACCAGCTTGGATGTTGGCATCTCGCTTAAGTGGATGGTGAGGAGGGGGATGGCCATCAGAAGGGTCTGTAAGGAAAGGGGCAGAGAAGCACAAGGAAGAAACAGAGGACTATGTTAGTCTGTGATCCCAAATCCCAAGCAGAGGGCAAATATGCATCCTTTGGGTGTTGGTACTCCAAAAAGGGACCCAAGAACTCCTCTGTTGCATTTTCCCATCAGACAGTCCCAGGAAAGTCAGGATGGCAGTTATGGTCACTCATGCCTCCTTTATATCTATTTGCTTATTATTTAAAGCATGAAGCCAAGATCAAATCCCTGACGGATTACATGCAGAACATGGAACAGAAGAGGAGGCAGCTGGAAGAGTCCCAAGACTCACTTAGTGAAGAGCTGGCCAAACTCCGAGCCCAAGGTAAATAATTGACTACTTTGCAGGTGTTGAGCTCTCGACCCACATCAGATACTCTCTAGTTGGCTGAACTCATGATGTTTAGTTTTGCTCAATTACAGCACTTCTAGATCTACTGAAAACAATGGAATAATTGCGGGGTGAGCAGAAAGAAAGAAAGAAAGAAAGAAAGAAAGAAAGAAAGAGAAAGAGAAATATCTAGAAGACTGCCCCCACACAATATTTGCTCCTTTTCCCTTTTTTCCTCAGTCCACCCTGCTTCCCGAGTCAGAATCCTCTCTCTTTTCTACTTCCTGCCTCCAGTCTGTCACCATGGCCTGTCCATTTGACCTGCCAGATGCTTCTCTGCTTCTGCTCATCTCTGCCTTCATTTTCACCATCCTTAATCCTAATTAAGAGTTGTGGCTACATCCATCTACGGACAGTCCCACCCCATCTTCTCCTGGCCAGCCACCGTGTTGCTTCCCAGCGGACTATTCTAAAATCACTTTCTATCTTGTGCCAGCCCCATGCCTGTGCCCCTTCCATGGTGTCCCGCCGCTCTTAACATAAGGTCTGAATTTCCACCAATGGCTACCTTTACCTTTATCCTATGAACAAGCTCTTCCCTTTGCCAGGCAGCCTTCTGATACTCTTTGCTTAGGGAAGTGCCTGACACATAGGAAACACTCAAAAGATATGAATACATAGAAACATTCAAGAGAGGTAACTAGAAATGCAGAAGCCAGAACAGGATTAAGAATGTATGCATTGCAGTGAAATGGACCACACGTACTATGAGCTGCAATGAAAATTGTTAGTCCTTTTAGGAAAGCATTTTGAAAACAAATATTAATAATCGTAACACTTTTTACACCTTTTGATCCTCATATCTCAAATATTCATTGCAGAATTCCTTGTATTAGTTGGGGGGAAAGAAAAGGAAAGGACAGGAAGCCACCTAAATGCCCAACAGTTAATTGAGCTACGGTATGTTTTTTAACAGAACATGTATTGGGGGTGAAGTATGTGGAGGCTGTACAGCCATGCTTACGATGCATCCTTAAATTAAGTAAAGATCATAATATGCAATCTTATCTTCACTGTGGTTATAGCATGTAGGAATCAATGGATGCTTGTGTTCCAAGGCCTGTGGATTAATATTTAAAACGAAAATGGTTTTGATAGGGTAATAGGATTGGTGATGATGCTACCCTGTGTTTATTTCCCTTATTGTTAATATAGTCACTTGCTCAGTAAATACACTTTTTTCAAATGCCAAGGCAAATTTAAAAAGATCAAGAACATCCTCACCCCCGCTATGACCTTGTAATGTTTTCTTCATGTGATAATGGATGAATGTTAGAGACAGAGTGTTCCCCCTAAGACTTCACACAGAAAAGAACTGTTCTCTCCTGTAAATGACTTCTGCAGTGGGGCCACTGAGTAGAAATAAAACAGGGGTGAGAAGATCTGAAATAAAGTGGAGCAGACTAGATAGAAAGCATAATGACTTGAAAGTCACTGTTTTAAACCATTTTGCTCCTGCCCGCCATCCCACCTCAGCCTGCCATGGTATGCTCAGGGAGTGCTCCTAAAAGCAAGAATAGGCTGGGCTGGCTCCCCCTGGGGTGTGCCATGCAGCAGCCCTGCCCCAAATATGGGGCTTTCCTGTTTAATCTGGAGAGTATTACTTTATATTTCTATTTCTCTCTTCTTAGCCTTAGATTATGTTTACCTGCTCTAGATTTTTAGAGAATAAACAGCTTACCCATGGGAGGTAAATTAGCTCTTTCTGGAACTCTAATAGTGTCATGAATCCAAATGCCACTAACATTCACATGGTGCTTTGTGATCTACATAGCAGGTTAATGTGTACTGCCTCGGGGCTTGCTCACCGAGGCCAGGTGGGGACCGGTTGTCTGAGGTGTGAGGTCATAACCGGCCAGGTTGGTTCTGACCTAGAGTGGCCCACTCCAAGTTAGCACCTGTCCCCGACAGTCGCCCCTCCTGCTGGAGCCCTCCTCAGCCAGAAGTCCTCCTCCCAGTCTTGGATACATACCATGGGGTGTAGTCGGTGATGTAAGCTCACGTTTCACTCTGTGGCCATTCTTCCTTTTTTTTTTTTATCTTTTTTCTTTTAAGTTTTTTTTTTTTTTTTTTAACTTTTGGATGTGAGTCCTACCAGTTAAATCTTAAATCATCATTTAAAATTCAAAACAGAAAAAATGCACGAAGTCAGCTTCCAGGATAAGGAAAAGGAACACCTGACCCGACTGCAGGACGCTGAGGAAATGAAGGTGTGTATGCCACCCCTCCCATGGAGCCCAGCACGCATTCGGACCGCACTTTCTTGTTCTAGGGAACTCTGTCTCCTTCAGAGATGTGTGCGGCAGTGCGGGAGGGGGAGGGGAGTGGGGGTGCCGATGCCGGGCAGTTGCAGCTGTTCTCACGGCGTGGCCCGGCGTAGGACTGAGATAGAGGTGGAGTGTCCAGAAACCCCACGAAGTCCGTAGTAATAGCCACGTTGCTTTGGTACGTGTTCCTTCCCCGTTCCTGGTGCAGAAGGAAAGAGCAGAACCCGCCTCCCCTCTCCAGCCCCCAGTCCCTACATGGGCCACACTGTTGAGGTTAACTTCTGAAGTGTTTGCCCTTTCTTTGAATGAAAGAAAACATTTCTCCTCTTGACATTTTTATTTTCTCATTTTTTTTGAATATTGATTTTATTTTCAGGAGAGTGCAAGTAGGGGATGGGCAGGGAGAGAGGGGAGGGGGGCAGAGGATCCAAAGCGGGCTCTGTGCTGACAGCGGCAAGTCCATAGTGGGGCTCGAACTCACAAACTGCAAGATCATGACCTGAGCCAAAGTCAGATGCTCAACCCGCTGAGCCATCCAAATGCCCCCTCTCCTTGACTTTTTAAAAGAAGCACTCCAAATTTGAGTTTCCATCTTATACATAGAGATCTTTATGTTTGGTCACATGTAAAGTAGTGAAGGAAAATGTAGGATGAATGACTGGGAAATAAGATTTTTAGGTGAATAAAGTGAGATATGAGAAAATGTTGAGTTTTACTTCATTTTAGGCAGACTACTAGTCCCTTTGCATGTGAGCCCATAGTCAAAACAGTGCCCGTGGTATGATCCTGCCCCAGGCTCACCTTGATGGGCCCCTCTCCTGGTTTCATATGGCTTTGGTGAAGAGCTCTCCTTTGAACATCACCACAAATCTGTGCAGTGGGCAGGACTGGGGCAATTATCTAAATTTTACAGATGAGGCAGTGTAGCTCACACAGGTTACATGGCTTGTCTGAGGTCACCTGAGTAGTCAGAGGTCCATGCCCTCTGACCTGGCTAGAGAAGCCATGTAGCCTGGTGAGCTGTAGAAGGTCACGGATAAAGCTTTTTATTTAATTGATGGACTGATTTGCTCCCAGGGCCCACTCTGTTTTATGATAGATCTTTGGGTTTTGTTGTGCCAGTACGACAAGGCGGGTTCTGGCGGCCCCAGTTTTGGGACCTGACAGCCGAGGGATGTAGGGTAGGAGGCAGAAGCAATCCAGGGCTTGTCATAGTGTGGGCTGTGAGCCAACGAGTGGATGACACATCTCTGCTGGCCTGGCTCGCAGAAGGCGCTGGAGCAGCAGATGGAGAGTCACCGGGAAGCTCACCAGAAGCAGCTGTCCAGACTTCGAGATGAGATCGAGGAGAAGCAGAAAATCATCGATGAGATGCGGGAGTGAGTCGGCTCAGGGGCTCTTGGGATGTGGGGGCAGGCATGGCGTCTTCGGCCAGCCTGGAAGGATGCGGCTTTGAGCCGAGGTCTGCTCGCCTCGCCCTGTGGGCCTTGGGCTCTGCCCTGGGCCGCAGTGGGCTACACACGCGGCTTCCGACGTCTGTTTTCCCATCTGGAGCTGAGCCTCGGGGGGCTCTGCTGGGGCAGGTGGCAGGCGGGTGCAGCCGTCCTTCCTCGTGCCCGAGGAGCTGGGGTCATGTTGGTGACTCAGCTGCCCTCATAGGCGGAAACACCATCTGTATGAAAAAACATATTTAAAAAAACCCTCAGTTGGTCCTGAGTCTGGAGTTCTGATAGGTTAATAAATCCTCCAGAAAAGATAGTCAGCTCCTGCTGCCTCCTCACCCGAACTCATAAATGCACCCTGCACAACCCTGAGCCACCTGGTCACATGTGCACACTTTGTAGGGACCGGTGTCTGTGCTCGTGGACCTGTGGCATTTGCCAGAATGGCTTCATTGCAGCTTGTCTCTGGGGACACCCCCCCCCCCCTTCAGGGCCATTTTCCTGTCCTGAGATGGCCACTGAAGAACCCCTGCTCCATAATGATCTCTCCCCTCTTCCTCTCTTACCTTCCTGTCTCATTGTCAAAACAAGTCACCAAGCTGGGAAGTACTTTCAGGATCCTCTCCTTGAGGGTTCTTAACATTTTTGCACAGTGAGTCCCTTGGCAATCTTTGAACCCCTTGGCAGAATAATATTTTTATTTGTTTGTTTGTTTGTTTACTTATTTATTTATTTAATGTTTATTTTGAGAGAGAAAGAGAGAGAGAGAGCAAGCACACAAATGAGGCAGGGCAGAGAGAGAGGGAGAAAGAGAAAATCCCAAGCAGGCTCCATACTCAGTGTAGAGCCCGACACGGGGCTTGATCTCACGACCTCGAAATCATGACCTGAGCCATAATCAAGAGTTGGATGTCTGACCGACTGAACCAACCAGGTACCCCTAGAATAACATTGTTAAATGCCACAAATAAAAGATGCAGGAAAACAAAGAAAACCAGTTATGCTGAAATACATTTCCATTCGCTAACACCTCCCCCGCCCCCTGCCCCCTGCTCATTGCCCCCAAGATATAGACTAAAGGCTCCTTCCACTCCCGCTTTCTGTAGATGAAGAGCCAGATTTCTATGTGGGAGTCAAGGTTAAATGAGTTACTTAGGGTCACACTACTAAGTAGGAACCAAACTGAAGTTAGAGTTTAATTCTCCAGGCTACTGATCCAAATCGCTCTTCAGTGTCTGCAAGCTGCTCACACAGCGTATTTGCATTTTAAAAGAGGAGAATGGTAACGAAGCAAAGTGTAAGTGTTGTGATCCTGGCACAGTGTCTACCGAAGGCAAGCATTTCGTGTCGTCTTTCCTCTCCTCGTTTTGAACCATCCCCGTGCTATTATTCAGGTTGTTCTTTCCCCTTCAAGCATGTCCTGTGTTCTTTATTCTGATTAATCACCCTTGACATGTTTAACTGGAAGGGGAAAGGAAGGAGGGAAGGAAGGAGGGAAGGAAGGAGGGAAGAGGGAGGGTTGGTAAATGAGTTAGTCAGTAGGTGTAGAAGTTTTGTTGGCCTGTGCCTTTCAAGCAGACTCTGAGTTTTTCCTTCAGATAGTGTAGAGTCTGTTCCTTTACAGGTGCACAGGCCTGGCCATACAAAAGATTTTGTAAATACTGCATGCAAATGTTGACAAAGTGCCCCCAACCAGATGGCGAGTTTCCCTTTTGCAGCAGCCCCTGGGCTTTCTTTGTATTTTTCTCTCTCTGTACCCACTCCTTGAAGACTTCACACAACTGTACCTGTGTCAGCCAGGAATTTGGACTTAGAAAATGTTCTCAGATCATCGGACTAGAGAGGCAAGGAAGGTTGAAATGGCCAAATAAGGTTTCCCGAGTGAGTGCATGCCATCTGTAGGGCAGACAAAGCAGAATTCTTCTGACTGTGCTGTCTTTCTCTGTTTTTAAAATATCGGCCCTTTTCCTATCTCATTATTTTCCCCCCAAAGCTCTTGCACAAGCCAACTATAAATATATTCTCAAAGCCTTATGTTTCATGCCTCTGAGATGTTCCCAGAAATTAGTTTCCACTTCGGCAGGGAGGAAGCTGTGAGGTTGTTCTCTGATCCCTCAAAATCCTCTAGAATTGCCGCCTTTATTGCTCAGAACTAATGGGGTTGGAACAGAACCATGTCTTCGGCTGGGTGACTCGGAATTTCAGACTAATGTGGACTGTATTGCTTTTTCCTCTCAATTTCAGTTTGAATCAGAAGCTGCAGCTAGAGCAGGAGAAGCTCAGTTCTGATTATAACAAGCTGAAAGTGGAAGACCAAGAGAGGGAAATGAAGCTGGAGAAGCTCTTGTGAGTGTGCTTCAAATGTTTCCCCGGCTTTCTCTCCTCCCCGCGGGGTCTCTGCAAGCCTGCGTCCGTGATTCAGATTCCTAAATATTACGGTTAGGTTGGGCCAAGGCTGTTTGTGTGCATTGGTTTGTTTTGTTGATTTATCCGTAGGTGCAAATGGAAATCTCTGATGCCCTTTTGCTGGTTCATAATTCCTTTTTTTGTTTGGTTTTGTTTTTTGTTTTAGATTGCTCAATGATAAAAGGGAACAAGCCAGAGAGGACCTCAAGGGGCTGGAGGAGACAGTGGTATGTCAACATGTTTCCCAACTCACTGTCGTCTCAGAGACCTGATGAGTTTGTGATTTGTTGCGTTTATTTATTCTAAAATATCACCTGTGCCCACCTTTCTCACATACCATCTTAGACAAAACATTTAGGCAAATTCCATATATTTAGACATTCCATTTAGAAAGAACATTGTGTGGAAAAGTGAGAATTGTAGAATTTATTCCCCAGCTTTTGACACAATGATTAACCATCAGTCTGTCAGTCCGTCTGTCTGTCCATCAGTCCATCCATCCATGCTTAGTGCTGTGACCATGCAGACCCTGAGTGAGAATGAAACTGACTTGCAAATCAATGACTGCAAGTTTACAGGTTTTGCACACTATAGCTTTTTTTCCATTCAACATTCAAGAGCACCTACTAAGGGCTGGCATTCTTCTAGGTGGTTGGGTTGCATCAATAAATGACAAAGATAAGATTCTGGCACTTGTGAAGCTTACCTTCGGCTGATGGGGAAGACAGATAGTGAATAATAAGGGAGGAAATCATGACCTCCATTAAATGGTTCTGGAAAGTACACAGGGTGGTTGCTGGCAGTGGTCCCATGAGAAGGTGACTTTTGAGTAGGAACTTGAAGCAGGTGAAAGGGCAAGACTGGAAGGGCCTTCCAGGCATAGGCAATAGCCCATGCCACGGCCCTGAGGTGAGCCCGTGCCTGGTGTTTTGGAGTGACAGCAGGGAGGTCAGTGAAGCAAGGAGGAGCTAGGAGGTGGGCACAGAGAGGTCAAGGCGAGAGCAGGTGTAAGCTGGGAAGGGACTTGAGACTTGCAGGGTTTGGGGTAAAAGAGTGACAGATCAGAAGGGCTTATTATTTGAAATCCTGGTTGTTTTTCTTCATCCTGCATCTGAATTCGTGACGTTTGTCTCCACTGGTTGACTTCCATTTCAGCTGCTCTGAGGGCCCTCGAGAGGCCTTTGAAGTGCCACACACAGCCTGTGTTTGAAGACAGACCATCCCAACCTAGGCTCTCAGTTTGGTGAAAACATGTCCGGTCATTTAGATACAATTGTTCAGATAAAGTCATACATTTTGATTCCACTCATGTGTCATGTGAATTTATGTGGTATTGTGCCTATCTCCAAGAATCTAGTGACGCTAGGCTGTAGGGCTGGGCCTCGTTCTGCACTCTGGCTTCTGAGTTGATGTTAGTTGCCCCTTAAAGCCAGGTGGAGGGACTCAGGACAGAAGTCCTGGTGCAGTCCACTCAGGACAGAAGTAAGATGACTGTATGCAAAGGATCTTGGGCCTTTCCAGCATGGTGGAGAAGATGGTAGATGGGGCTGCTGGCTGTGGGGGAGACTGAAATGAAGCTGTGAAATTGCAGAAGTGATACTCACAGTTATAGATGATTGTAAAAATTCAGGAAAATATGGAACTTTAAAATGGTACCGTATTCCCACTAGCCAGATATAAGTGACGTTTCAGTACCTTTTTCCTTTCCACCCGTGAACTGCCCCTGCCCCACTCGCTCACCTGCCATACCTGCCCTTCATGCCCTCCCACAGGTGCTCTCTCACGGTCACACTCACACTCGTGCAAAGTCACTTGTCCTCTCGTGCACTCTGGCGCATGCTCACACCCCACAGTCTGCAGTCCCTTCCTCACACTCACGGGCATTCACTTCCATGTTCTCGTGTCTGTGCACTTCCTCGCGTGCTGGCCCCTCCCACCCTCACACTCACCCATGTGGCTCTTCTCTCTTGCTCTCACTCAGCACTCACATCACACACATTACGCACATTCACGTTTTAAACCCCAAACTGGAACCTCATGGCATCTTGTCACTTAACCTGCCCTCAGAACCTTCCCTAAACTGTAACTGTTCTTCAGGAACAGGCTCGCTGCCCTTGATTGACCTTCCTAGAATTCTCCTTAGCTCAAGGCCTCTGCTGGCTTGAGTATTTGGGCAAGCTGGGGGGTGGAACCTGCTGTCCAGGGGTAGGAGTGTGAGGCCCACTCCAGCAGATGACATTGGAAGATGTTGAGGCAGCCATGGGGCTTCGGGGCTGGTCCTCTCTTGCTGTGTTGATGGGCCTTGTGTTTTTGCCTCTCTGGTCTCGCCCTCACTGTCCCCCGTGACAGGAAGCTAAGCCTGTAACTTTTACACAGAGGGCAGCAGCCTGTAACATGGACAATTTGAAAGAAGGGAGTCAGGTAGAGTGAGGAAATGATAATCTGCTGGTGGAAAATTCATTGCTGCAGGAAAGCCAAATGATAGCTGCCTAAGCTTAAATGCGCAACTTGTAAACTATTTAAAAAATTTTTTTTTCATGCTTATTTATTTTTGAGAGAGAGATAGAGTCGAGCAGGGGAGGGGTAGAGAGATGGAGACGCAGAATCCAAAGTGGGCTCCAGGCTCCAAGCTGTCAGTACAGAGCCCGACATGGGGCTTGAACCCACAAACCATGAGATCGTGACCCGACCTGAAGTCAGATGCTTAACTGACTGAGCCACCCAGGTGCCCCATCTTGTAGCATATTTTATATTTTAAACATCTTGAAGCCTGTTCCTTGTACCTGCCCCTCCTGAACTGCTGAATTCACCTAAGAGCAAACAAAAATGAGATACAGTTGCCAAACTCAGGACTCCATAGTATTTGGTACTTAAGCCCCAAAGAAATGTCTGGCCCTTTGACAAGGCCCCCGTGTCTTCTCTTCCCATTTCCCTTTGGTGTGATGGCTTTTTTTTATGGAAAATATTTGCTGTGATTACAGTTCAGCCAGGAATAAAATCCCTGAAGCAGCAGAGAGAGCGTACAGAACAGGGGCTGGGGGTCTGAGCTCTGTGGGCAGGGGCCTGAAACAGTGTCTGCATAAACGTGGGCTCTGAGCTGTGCCCCTGTGCCTGTGCTGGAAGGTGGCTAAGCCTTGGACAGGTCCGATGGGCATTGCATCCAGAATAACAGGCGTGCTTGGCTTCCTGCAGAAAGGAATTTGCCACATCTGAGGAAGGAATTGACTTCAGCTGCTGCTTATTTCAACACAGAATTGCAGACTTGGACCCAGCAAAAAGACCTTAAATTAACACAGAACTGTTATTCCAAGAAACTTAGTGTTTTTGTGTCTTTATGGCCTGTTTCTTTTTTAAAAAAATTTTATAATGTTTATTTATTTTTGAGAGGAGGGAGGGGCAGAGAGAGGGAGACACAGAATCCAAAGCAGTCTCCAGGCTCTGAGTTGTCAGCACAGAGCCTGACACAGGGCTTGAACTCATGAACCGCGAGATCATGACCTGAGCCGAAGTCGGACGCTCAACCAACTGAGTCACCAGGCAACCCCCCGCCACCTTTTTAAAAAAATTTTTTTTTCTTTAATATGGCCTGTTTCTTTTTTTTCTGTGAGCATGTGTGAGCTGCATCCCTTGACATTCTGTGTTAAGTCAACTTAGACAAATTAAAAAGTATAAATGTAAGTTTATCTCTCTCCTCCCTTATAGGAAAATATTTTGCAAGGAACTAATCATATCTCCTGTAGTAAATATATGGAGAATTAAATGAAAGTAAATAGCGTGATATTCTGATCTTGTTAACAAAGGTCACCAGGTTTGACTCACACCCTTGTCTTAGCAGTCTAGTTCCTAAGGACTCATTTGTAGAAAATAATTCAAAATGAAGAAAAAAAATACCCCCAAGAAGTTAATTACAACATAACAATATTATAACAACAGAGGGAAACAGTAACAAAAGTATACGATAAAAGCCTACTGAAGAAATGGATGTCAAATATGATGCATCAGTAAGTTAATACTAACTAGTGTTTACTGACCATTACGATGTGCCAGAACTGTTGTAAAAGTTTTATAAGGATTATCACATTTAATCCTGACAACTGTGAGGCAACTAGTATATTTATCCTCATTGTACAAATAAGAAAACTAAGGCACAAGAAGGTTAGGTAAGTTGCCCAGGGTCACGTGGATAAAAGGCCCACCACCTGCTTCATCCATGAGCTCCGTGATGTAAAGCAAACGAACATGAACTGAGACCAGCAAGGGGTGTGGAAGCATGAAAAACGTCAGTTAGGATGGGAGAGGTTGTGGGTAACTTTCCTTTTACACTGGCGTTTTGTATAATGTGTATGTGATAAACTAGAGGAAAAAAGGAGTCCCTTCTGGTACAATGCAGCCTATTAGGAATTTTGGGGAGAAAACTTTTTTTTTTAAGATTGTTTGTTTGTTTGTTTGTTTAAGAGAGAAAGAGAACAAGTGAGGGAGGGGAAGATAGGGAGAAAGACAAAGAATCCCCAGCAGGCTTCGTGCTGTCAGGGCAGAGCCTGATGTGGGGCTCGAACCCACAAACCGTGAGATCATGACCTGAGCGGAAGTCAGACGCTTAACTGACTGAGCCACCCAGGTGGCACATGAGAAAACTTTTTTTTTTTAATGTTTGTTTGTTTGTTTGTTTAGAGAGAGTCCAAGCAGGGGAGGGGCAGAGAGAGAAGGAGACAGAGGATTTGAAGCAGGTCTGCACTGACAGCAGAGAGTCTGACGTAGGGCTCAACCTCAAACCGTGGAATCATGGCCTGTGCCAAAGGACCTTACCCATGAGAAAGCCTTTTAACTTTTGTTTTTGAGGGGAGAGAAAAAGTGCTATTTAGAACTCAGCAAATGAGTAGGCTTTGTTCTAGTTTACATTTCATTGTTTGAGTTCCCGTCTCTGGCCCTTGAGATGCTCTTGAGACAGTTAAGGGGGTAGACACAGCTGGTGAGAAAGTCAGGGAAGTGTGGGAGCGCTGTGGCCTTACTGGCGGACTCATAGAGCATGTATGGAAAGGTCTGGGTCATTGGGTCAACCAGATGTTGATGGTGTGGCACCAAATCCGTCACGAATTCACTGTTTCCCCCACCACCTAAGTGGCATTTTAACAATCTTCTCTTCCAGTCTCGAGAATTGCAGACTCTTCATAACCTCCGGAAACTCTTTGTCCAGGATCTGACTGCCCGGGTCAAGAAGGTGAGTTCTCTTTTGTGTGAACAGGACTGAGAAGAAAAGAAAAGATGGCCAGAAAGAATCATTTTCAGTTGAAACATCACTTCCTTAAATTGGGGCTGGTTATGCTTAAAAATGAATGACTTCAAGCCAGAGAATGTATTAAAAGAATGTACCAGAGGCAAAACAAAACAAACAAACAAACAAACAAAAACCAAAATCAAAACCAAAACCAAAAAAAACAAAAAACTTGGGAATATTTTTCCATCTGATTTTTTTCTTCTTAGTAAAAGGAAGTTATAATCCTCTCCCTGGCCCTCATTTCAAACGAGCACATATTTACCTGGCCGCAGTGTGAGAGCTGCTGTGCATGATGCGGGGAAAATCCAGAGGGGTCTTATCAGGCAGAGTTGCCCCAAAGCCCGGTGAGCAATGCCAGAAACCTGTAGCAGTTGGAGGCGAGAGCACCCTGTTTGCCTGTGATGAGGCCATGAGGGGCTAGGTCAGAGTGTGTGAAGCACCCTGACGTGTGTCTAATTTGTTCTTCTCGACACTGGTGTAAGTGGTTCTTACTGTTCTCTTGTTAGTGGAGACAGGCTCCGAGGTTAAAGAACTTGCCCAAGGTCACATAGCTGGAAGAGCCGGAGGTAGGATTGAATCCAGCTCTGTGTGACTTCTGAATCTGGGCCTCTTTGATCCTCACACCTCACATGGCGATCTCGGGGAGTCACTGTATAGCAGATCCCACAGCAGCTTGCGGAAGTTTCAGGAAGGAGGGAGAGGTGGCAGCAGTGAGGGGACTGCTCTTTAAAAATGTTTAAACGTGATGGAAGAGGAGCAATGGTCCATATGCAGATGTGCAGTAGGACGGAAGGAAGGTGTATTTGAAAGTGTGTGTGTGTGTGTGTGTGTGTGTGTGTGTGCGCGCGCACATGTGTCTGTGAAGGAGCCAAGGGAAAGAGGTGAAATATATAAGCAAAGAGGAAGTGATTCATGGGGTCAGATCTGAGAGGGAAGGAATTAATAGCACAGATGGACATATTGGGCTTGGTATAAGGGGAAGGGATATAGTCTCCCAGAGAGGAGTAGTGGAGAAGTCAAGATGGGAGACATTTGCAGGAAAATGCATAACAGTGGAAAGATGCATCCAATGATGCATCGATCTTCTCAGTTAATGTGGAGGCTCAGTCCTCAATGGAGAAGGAAGAGAAGGAATGGCGAGGCCACAGAGCCTAGAGCAGGTGCCAGCAGCGTGGAGCAATTTGTCAGGGATGAGTGAAAGGATTGCTGAGCAGCGGTGTGAGCGTCCAGCTGAGGCTCAGAGCATGAATCTGCCGTGGCCTCTGACAACTTGGTTCTAGCGAGTTTGGGGACCTGCAAATGGAAACAAAGGAAGGCAGAGCCTGATAGGAGAGTCCAAGGGCTGAATGGCAGTGGCGGGGCAGGTAGGTAGTGACCACAGGCATCAAAATAGAAATGACTGTCAGACCTGGACCAGGTAGGCAGGAGAGGCCAGAGCACAGGGGACAGAAAAGGAGACTGGGGAGGTTAGGCAAGATCTGAAAAGGCTTAGTGAGAGGGAGGAGGGGGTCCAAGGAAGCTTAAGATCAGACTTCCCTGATTTCATGATGTAAAACTCTCGAGGAAGGACCTAGTTTTATTAGACCAGTGACTCTCAAAGTGTGATCATCTGGCCAGCAGCCTTGGCATCACCAGGATGCTTGCTAGATTCTCAGGTTCTCAGACGCACCTCAGGTCCACTGAAGCAGAGACTGGGGCTGGGGCATAGCAATCTGAGTTTTAATAAACCGAATCTGAGTTTAATTTCCCTCTGGGTGAAATTTGAGAACCCTGGATATAGATGGAAGAGACACGGGTCTGAGATGCATGTACAGCTGTTACCTCTCAGAAGAAGGAGGGATGGTGGTCTTGTCCATCATCAGATGGCACAAGCATGTCTCACCATTTTGGGCTCCAAGATGTGCTTATACATGTGTTTCTCAACTTATCTGACCACTGAGCGTGGCCCTGCCGGGAGGGAGGTTTCTGTCAATCTTAAGATCTGTTGAATTTCCAGAGTTTTTCCAGCAGATGCCATGCTCAGATGCCATGACTAGTTTGAAGTAGATTCATTAAGTAATTTCATGGAATCGGAAGCTCAGGCGATAAGCACAGGCCATTGAGACTTCCCAGCAGGACCACATACAATTGCCCTCAGCTTACTGACTTATCTCAGTTGGGATATTTGAAATTAAATTTCGGTCTTGGGTTTATATCTTCATACTGCTTCTTCTTATGAGTTTTGGAACAGTTCTTTTGAAAAAGAAAAGTCTATTTGCTCACCTGCAAGAAGAGAGAGGTGAATCTCACAGGGCTAATCTGTATCTTTCAAAGGAAGATTGGAGGTTTTGTTTTGTTTTGTTTTTCAGTTCTCTAAAATATAACACTCGTGAAACCCTTGACACGGAGCAAGGAAATTAATTGGGAAGGTCATTGAGTCTCAGCTTTCAGAACCTCTTTTTATTTTCACTTTCAGAATAACCTTTGGTGGGATTGGGGTTGTTTTTTTGTTTTTTGTTTTCTTTAAAGAAGATTTAGAGTGTTGTCCACCTTATGCTGGGGCTGCGGGCGGGCAGTGTGCTGGCCTGCCCGCTGACCCCTCATGTTGGTGCAGAGTGTAGAGCTGGACAACGATGATGGAGGGGGCAGTGCTGCCCAGAAGCAGAAAATTTCCTTCCTGGAAAATAACCTGGAGCAGCTCACGAAGGTTCACAAACAGGTAGGAGAGTCGTGCCAGCTTCCTTCTGCTTCTCGTATTCTCCTGGAAAGATGTGGCCGCAGTTCTGGGAGAAGGCTCTGACATCGAAGGCTAAGGGACTCTGTCACCACAAGACATTAGTGCCAGACTTGAAGTCCTTTAGTCTTCAGTGACTTCCCTTATATATAAAATTCTTTTGTCAAAGGCAAATGGAAGGAATTGAGTTTGAGCTCTTGGGCCTTGGGAGGTGGGGTGTTCAGAACCCTGTCTTTCTATCCTGTCTCCAGTCCCAGCGTTGGACCTACAGGCTGCACAGAATGTCAAGTGAATGCCATGGAGCTGGTTCAGGCCCCTTGTTTTTTTACAGATGAGGAAACAGACTAGGACTAGAAGTAACTTAATTCATTTTCTCTCTGCTCTGTCACCCTATTTATTGAGCACCCTGTCAGGTTCTTACGATGCTCTGGACTTTGTCTAGAGGGACAGCAAAGTTCACGGCCAAGCCTACTGGTGATCTAGGCGGTTGTCTTCTCTCTGTATAAATGCTGGAATGTTCATGTTTTTCCTAAATCCTAAAGATTTGGGCTATGATAAAAACAGTCCAACTTGTTAGACCACATGGATAAGGTGATGTCATCTCTCTTTGACTTAAGTCCTCTTTGATATTACTGATGGTGGCATTTTTCCCCAAAGGGAGGACGGCAGATTCTACATGGTTGAAGTCACTCATGCAAATTGTTGATGAGAAATATAAAAGCAGAAACTGCAAGGGAATTTGAAATAGGGCTCTGAGATTAATTATTTTATTTATGAATTCAATGAATATGTTTTAAAAATCTACTCTGGAGCTGCTGGTTTGCCTATGGGGTTAAAGAATGCAGGTGTGGACTCGGGATAGGTAACCTTCGTTAGCACTTTCTGATTTTCTAAACTTTTCTTGATCCACTGGGATTCCCACAATGGTCCTGTTATATGCTATCCTTTTTTATGGGTGAGAAACCTGAGGCTTGTGGTGGTTGGATGACTTAGCAAGTCCAATGTCAGGAAATAATAGAACTGACTCTTGAACCTTTTCTTCACCTGGGGCCAAACCTGTTGCTTCTTTTTGTTTTCCTTCATTATCTTTTTATTTAAAAAAAAATTTGTATGCATTTATTTTTTTTAATTCCAGTATACTTAATACAGTGCTCTGTTACTTCCAGGTGTCCAGTATATCAGTTCAGCAATTCTATACATTACTCAGTGCTCCTCACGATAAGTGTATTCTCAATCCCCTTTACCTGTCTCACCCATCCCCCCACCCACCTGCCCTCTGTCAACCACCAGTCTATGGCCACACCACCCCACACGCCCCCAGTCTCACCTGTTGCTTCTTAATTGAGGGTCTTAGGTAATGAAAAAATGAGAAGTACCCTGGAGTTACCTGTTAGCCTTTGGATATGTTGCTAAGGGGGTCCAAACCACATGCTGGTGTAGACAACATGTCCTGCAGGGAGGAGCCCTTCAGGGAGCTCTAGAACATGCATGCCTTTCACCGGTGCTTTTGAATTTGCTTTGTTTACATTTCTCAGCTTCCATATGCTAGCATCTGACTAGTCAATTTTCCTTACACTAGTTCCCCCACCCACTCAAACAAAAGAGGAAGTAAATCCTGCCCAAGTCTGAAAGCTTCCTGTGCCTGGAAATGGCTTTTAATTTCATCCTACACCCCCTCCCCACTTCCTTGCACCCATGAACCGTGTGTAGCAAATTGGAGTCCCAGAGTATGGGATCTTGATTTTCCGTCGGTGCTGCCAGCATTTGTGGTCACATGGACTTTCCAAGATGACCTAGCGGGCTGGTTGTTTGGCTGCAGAGACTGCTTCTAGCTGCCCTTGTATCACTGTCTGCCCCTCCTGCCGGCCCCCTTGCCTCCCTGGTAAGTCACCCCTATCCCTTCCCGCCGCAGCTGGTCCGGGACAATGCAGACCTGCGCTGTGAGCTGCCCAAGCTGGAGAAGCGGCTGCGTGCCACGGCGGAGCGTGTCAAGGCCCTGGAGAGCGCGTTGAAGGAGGCCAAGGAGAACGCCATGCGGGACCGCAAGCGCTACCAGCAGGAGGTGGATCGCATCAAGGAGGCTGTTCGAGCCAAGAATATGGCCAGGAGGGCCCACTCAGCCCAGATTGGTATGTGTGCCTCTCACCAGGGCCCTTGATGGAAGGCAGGACTCTGCCGCCCAGGAGCACTGATGATGCTCCGAGGCAGCGATGGAGCTCTGGGCTGTCTGTCTAGAACATCTGAAAGGCTGTGGGCAGGCATGCAGGACCTAGGCTAGCTGGCACCTCCCGGCACCTGCGTTCATCCGGGGAGGATGGGTATGTCAGGCACCTGCTTCCTTATACTGAGAGATTGCCATGTACATTGTGGTCTTCAAAGCTGCTGAGCTGAGCAGAGAAGGTGGCCAGCCTAGGCTGTTGGTAAAGGTTTGTGGCTGTAAACAGAGGTACTTTCTCAGAAGTCCTGCAATGTATGGCTATTTCTCAGCAAAGCCCAAAGGCCCTATAGCAGGTGGGCCCGTGAAGGGGCCCTATGGAACCAGAAGCCTCAGGGAAAGCCACTTGCAAGGGCAGGTTTGGAAGTGCCCTGGAAAGAGCCAGGCCTGGCATCGGTGAGCTGGCTGTGGTTCCAAACTGGGGAAGGGGCCTGGACATCCAGCCCCTCCCGGGCTTGGGTTTGGGTATTTTGCCCATGCAGGGAAGAGGGTGTAGCTGCTAAGTCATAGTTCCCAGGATGGAGCCGCAGGCATAAACTGGATTTAGGGATGTGCTCTAGAGAGCTTTTTTCTTCCATTGAAATGCCTCCAATAACATGTGATATTATTTCCCATCAGATATTGCCGTGCAGCTGTTTTGCACACCAACAACTTCATGTTTCTAGTTTTAAGATCATACCTTAGATTAGTGTTTTATTGCTTTTCTTGGACTTTACGCTCTTTGTAAATCTGGAAACTATGGATCTTGTCGCCAGAGAAGTGCATCATAGGCAGATTTCTGCATCAAGTTTCAGGGGCTGCCCAGATGCCCTTAAAACCCCAGGGGTGCCTACGGATCTGCCGCAGATAAAATGGAAAGTCCTTCTAAGTTTCCTCGGCCATAATTAACATAATTGATACATAAATTCTCTCCGTCCCCTAACCATCTGGCGCCCTAAATTAGTTAACTGCACTATCAAGAGGGCAAACATCCTCTTTTCAGAAAGCTGTGGTGATTGATAAGGACTGTAATGATGCAAATTGTAGGTCTCGGTTTTCACATGTGACCCACGGGCATCTGAGTATGGCTGTTTAAGCCTAATCTGAACGTTCTGTCCTTTCTGTCGAATACAGCCAAGCCCATCCGCCCTGGACACTACCCAGCATCATCTCCAACGGCCGTCCACGCCATCCGAGGGGGAGGAGGAGGCTCTTCAAACTCCACTCATTACCAGAAATAAATGCGAAGTGAGTCCCTGGTGTTGGGTGGTTTCTGTTTGGGGCAGATCTGTGCCCCTGCCTGGCTCCCAGCAACATCCATGTGCACCTGTGATAGTGAGAGGCTCAGCTCTCCTGGAGCAGACCCTAGGGACGCAGCTTACCTGCCCTCAGCTCAGCTCGGAGCCTCAGGGTCTTCTTAGCTAGGGCCACCTGGTGCCGGGGACCCTCTGGGGATAGACGAGGGTGTGGTGAATGATTCACCTGAGCTTTCTTTTGTCTGTGGGGTTTCCCTGTGCAGCTGGCATCCAAAAGGGCAGTACCTGTTTGTCAGCTGCTTTTGCCTAGAGCAGACAGATGTGGGTGGTTGCTTCAAGTTGCAGGAGCTGAATATAAAGAAAGAGCCAGATACAGAAAGTCTATTTTTATAATTGCTATCTGAACTCAACAAATAGGGTTTTTAAGAGTGTGCTAATTTATAGCTAGGTAGGTCCAGACCACTTTTTTCTTTGAGACAGTGGTCTAGAAATTTCTGTTCCTACAATCCACATGCTTGATATTGCTCTAGCAGCAAACAAACAAACAAGAAGTGATATGCTTTGGAAAAGAGAAGGAGAGACCTTGTGTTTTTGTACTTGAGGTAGAGGAAAGAGGTCATGGGTGGGGCTGGGCGGACAGACAGCTGGGTGGCCAGAAAAGCGTTTAGGAAAACTCTTTAAACCCGTAACCTCTGGATAGAAGAGAGTATCTCCAAATGTTGCCCTTGGATTCTGAGCCCTCACTAAGGAAGCTGGCTTAAGCCACCATGATCAAGGGCGACGCAGGGGAGCATTGAGTCCTCTCCAGCTCTTTTTGGATCAAGGTGAAGAAAGTGAATGTATGGGGCTGGAGCCCTCTCTCAGGCGATACGACAGCATTGCTAAGCCTCATGCAACAACTTCCAAGGAAGGAGCTTGGTGGCTGCACCCAGAGCTTTCTCCTGCACCGCCCCAGGCAGCATGCCAAGGAGCAGGACAGGCACTGGTCAGATGAGGGAAAGGGAGGGAAGGCCAAGGGGGCCCACGGGCGGGCAACATGTCCACCACCATCTGCCATACCCTAAAAGGTGGATGGGAAGTGGTCTTGGCAGTGGGCCATCCCATTCAGATCCGATCACTTTCAATCACAAATAAAATAAAATCGGGTGTTATAAAATTGCTTTTGACTGCATGTTCCTGGTGTTGTAGTTGGCACTTGAAGGGAGCTATACGACCACATTAGGCAGCTTGGAATAGAAAAGCTAAAGTGTGGTTCTGGAACTTGGGTGGGTGGGAGGGTGTCAGTATCACCTGGTCCCCAGGGACCTAGGCTTCTTGAAGGAGCATAGGGCCTGGGCCTTTGCATGTTTACCAAGTACCCCAGCTGATTTTGTTAGCCACCAAAGTTTGAGAACTCCTATCCTGAAGTAACCGTGGCTTACATACAGGATGGGAGTTAATTTCTCTGTCACGTTAAGAAAATTTGAGGGCGGCCTGTCAGAGGCTGGTAAGGGAACTCTACCGTGACTACAGAAAGCTCGCCTTTTAAATTTAGACTCACTGTCCTCAGAAGTACCCTCCTCCCTCAAGGTCACCTGGTCCAGCTCTCAGGCCTACATGCCATGGTTAGCAAGCAGAGAGGAAGCTGGGAAGAGGCAGAAGCAGCCCTCCTAGCCGAGTCCTCTTCCTTTAGTAGCCTTCCTGAAGTCTGCATTGTACTAATGCCTGCATCCCTCTGGCCGGAACTGAGGCACACGGCCATGCGCAGTGGCAAGAGGCCTGGAAAAGGGTAATTTTTGAGGTGGCACGTCACTTACTGCCCCACGCAAGAGTAGTGTTCTGTACCTGAGGACAGGGCAGTGGATGTTGGGTGAGCAACCAGAACCTGCATTTATTGAGCACCTACTATGCAGCAGTGCTGTGCTGCATGTAATATCTACATTACATTACATTACCCCATGGCATGTAAGCACAGAGTTGGGGTGCCTGGGTGGCTCAGTCGGTTCAGTGTCCCGCTTCGGCTCAGGTCATGATCTCGCGGTTCGTGAGTTCAAGCCCCGCGTTGGGCTCTGTGCTGACAGCTCGGAGCCTGGAGCCTGCTTCGGATTCTGTGTCTTCCTCTCTCTCTGCTCCTCCCCTGCTCACGCTCTGTCTCTCTCTCAAAAATAAATAAACACTAAAAAACTTTTTAAAAATGTAAGCACAGAGAGGGATATGTGCTTGGGTCCTAGCCAGCTCTTAATAAATATACTGGCTCAGAGATTCTGGAGTCCAGATCTGGTGCAATGGACAGCCACTTGCCTCGTGCAGTCCCGTAAAGGTTCATCAGACCCATGTTTTGGGGAAGGTACGTACAAGCAGATGTTCTCTCTTATGCTTGCAATTGAGAAGCGGTAGGCCCGGTAACACTTTTGAGGACCTTTGAACTAATAGCACTGTCCTCACCCTTCCTGGTGATTCATCGCATTCTGTAACTCAAAATGTTGTAGGCAAGTTTGATTATTTCATCTGCAGCTGGAACCTTCTTAACCAACTCTGTCCGTACCTACGACTCCTGTAGCTGGGTACTTTCTCCACATCACAAAACAGGTAGGCCCCCTTCCAGGTTATCAGGATGTTGGTGTGGTAGAGGGGCCTGGCTTTGGACAAGAGACTTGGGTCAAGCGTTAGGTCTTCTACTTTCTCCTTTTTTTTTTTTTTTTTTTTTAAGGTTTATGTATTTATTTGGGGGTGGGGATGGAGGGGCAGAGACAGAGTAAAGAGAGAATCCCAAGCAGGTTCCACACTGTCAATGCAGAGCCCAGTGTGGGGCTCAGACTCAAGAACCATGAGATCATGACCTGAGCCAAAATTCAGAGTTGGACGTTTAACAATGACCGAGCCACCCAGGTCTCCTATCTTCTTTACGTTACTTCCGCTCAGTAACCCTCAGTTGATTTGGTTTCTTCGTCTATGAAATGGGAAGAATCCTTTCCCTGGATCATTGGTCTTGAAATGAGGACAAAATGAGGTCACGCTTCTTAAGCTGCTTGGCATATAGCACGTACTTGATAAAAATGTCAGCTGTAGTTTGGAGTAGCAAGCAGTGCATACTGGGCACAGCAGGTGGTTGATGAGTGTTGGTCTGTCATCTCTAAGTCATGTAGTTGTTACAAAATAGTTTTTAGTCCCTCTCTGGCCCCAGGTTCTTTTTTTTTTTTTTAATATAGTTATTTATTGGGGCCCCTGGGTGGCTCAGTGGGTTAAGGGTCCGACTTGGGCTCAGGTCACGATCTCGCGGTTCGTGAGTTCGAGCCCCGCGTCAGGCTCTGTGCTGATGGCTCAGTCTGGAGCCTGCTTTGGATTCTGTCTCCCTCTCTCTCTGCCCCTCCCCTGCTCACGCTCTGTCTCTCTCTCTCTGTCTCTCAATAATAAATAAACGTTAAAAAGTTAAAAAAAATAATATAGTTATTTATTTTTGAGAGACAGAGACAGGAGCAAGCAGGGGAGGGGCAGAGAGAGAAGGGGAGACACAGAATCTGAAGCAGACTCCAGGCTCTGCGCAAGCTGTCAGAACAGAGCCCGACGTGGGGCTCGAACCCATGAACCGCAAAATCATGACCTGAGCTGAAGTTGGACGCTAAACCGACTGAGCCACCCAGGCGCCCCACCCGGGCCCCAAGTTCTGACCGCTAAGTGGGGAGGGCCCATGAGTCAGCTCTGGTGCTCTGACCAGATGTAAGGTGTTTTAAAGATATTCTCATTTATTCATCTAAAGGTTATGAATAAGAACATTGACTATTTTTAAGAAAATGACTGGGCATTTGTCAGGAGAGGTTAAAAAAAAGGATAGTAACCAACGGAGTGGGGAATTAAAATTGGAAGTAAGAAAATGCAAAATCATTTTTTAAAAACCTAATTGCAAATGTGGAATTCATTGCTTAGTTGGGATCAAAACATTTTGAGAGGATCTTTCCTGATCTTTGGGACGCTCATCCCGAAGTGTGTCTGTGCTAGGCAGAAATGATGTCAGGTGCTGACTCTTCCCAGCCCTCTTGCTAAAGCCACCACAGCCTTTCATACATGGGCAGCATCCGGGTATCTCTGGGGTTTCCTTCTGCTTCATTTCAGGTTTCGAGGAAAATAGTCACAATGAGTATTTTGGTTTATGCCCAAAGTTTCAGAGCAACTAAAGATGCCAACATGTAGAAATCAGAACTCGGGATAATGCTGGCTTTTATCTTAGCTAGTTCAAATCCAGGGGGGCAGCCTAGGGGAGGGGACATCTTTTTCAAACCACAAAACGGGACATGGAATCCGGGGATGGCTGGACATGCATGGGTTCAAGCCCTGGCCTTGGCTTTATTTCCACGTGATGTTGGTAAGTTACTTGATATCTTTCAGCCTCAATTTCATCATCTGCAAAATGGGATCAGGCATGGAAAACCTGTTCCGTACTTGGTTTTACAACGTCTTGTGCAGTGTTACTCTTTTTTTGCAGGGAGATAGTGAATAAACGAGATAACTTCAAATAGTGGTAAGGTTCTGAAGAAAATAAGAGCAGGTTAATGAAATGGAAATGGGGACACTTATTTAGAAGAGGGGGTGACATTTGAGCAGAGCACTGACTGAGGACAATTACCAGCCACACAGTGACTGGGGAAGAGTGGCACAGCCACTGGCTGGAAGGTGGGAATGGCTGGCGTATTGGGGAACCTTGGGAAGCCTGATGGGGCTGGAGCGCAGAGAATGCGGAGACCTGCATAATCAGGGTTTGTTGGGGAAGAAGGTAGTGGACAGATAAATGAGGCCTTAGAGGCCAGGCTGGCAGCTCAGGGTGCAGTCCGAGTGTGCAAGGCCACTGGGGCCTTTGGGTCTGGGAGTGGTGGGGCCTGGTTTGTGACTGGCAAAGGCCACCCTGTGCTGGACCCCTGGGAAAGGACGGGGTGGCTGAGAGCCAGAGCAGGGCTCCCCTAGAGGCCACTGCGGGAGAAGTGATAACATAGGAGACCCCAGAATTACAGGTA